TGTTATGACACAGCCGCTTCTGAGCACTGCATTATCCGGGACAGATATGGATCGAGAGCGGCTCCAAGGCTGATGGTTCATGGAACGAGTTGTTCCAAGTAAATGGTAAATGAAAACTAGCAAATGAGTATTGAACAAAAGCGCAAATTTTATTTTATCTGCAGCTTTTGGTACTCCTGCACCACCATTTTGCTGCCGTGTATTTTGAGCCACACAAGTTTCAACGAATCACTCAGGTAAAGCGACAAAATAGAAACGTGAAGAGAATCCGGAGTTTGGTTGTTGGTCTGTCCGCCAAGCTTGGCAGTTGGGTTGCAAACGTTTTATCACCAATCGAGGTGACATCGTCAGTGCAGGATTGAGTGGATGAATTCCTCCTCTTCTGCCTGTGATCATATAGCATCCAAACAGTACCTGGTAGTTCTAAAAGCGGTCTTCACGTAGTTTGATTGTCCTCTTGTGAATCTGACGTGGTCTCAGTTTCAACTAATCAGACACAGGATAGGAAAGTATGGAAGGAAGCATTAAAGAAATAAATGATACCAGCTTTCTTGCGTTGGGCAGTCTTTACACGGCAAATAAATTTGTCAAATGCAAAACGGTAAAGAACAATGATTTGATTTAAAAACCAAAAGTGGGGTGAACAAATGGCTGGGGTATAACCAAGTTCATCCACGGATCCCGGGAGGCAATGCATCATCACTTCATTCTGTCAGAACTGAGACATAATTTTATTCTTTGGCTGCCTTAGTTGCTTACTCCTCAAAACTACCTTTTTGTTTAAATGAACCTTTGTTACCTCGGTGTAATTATATGATGAGAACAGCATCCATAAAAATCATTGCGGGGGTTCAGCACGTGAACGTTTTGGGCCAATGTACATACAGAAACCTAAATACTTGTTTGACCGTAAAACGTTCTACCAACTGTTTTCCCAGTGAGTGCTTAGCTTGGGAGCCCAAAACACGATGCCACTCGAAATATAAAAGACTATGGTGTCTGTGTACTACGGACGGCAGAAGTGATGAAGTTAAATTCTGAGTGAAACTGAGCGAAAGATTATTTTCTGAGTGGATTCATTCTTCGTAGCCTAGCTTCTATCTCCATTCTCATTACCAAATTCTCCCAACCGCTGTAGGATTCTCCTGCTGTCCTATTGTGAATCAACACAAATACAGACGTAAAAGATCCTTAAGGACGACAGGCTATTACGGGTTTCGACCAGTAGCTGAGCACTTCTTTGTTCAACCTTTAAAATCTCGGCGGCGACGTGAATAAACTCCAACGAGGCACTACATGCTACCACGATATGACAACATCCCTCAGTCGCACACTCCAGTTTACGTGATCCGGTGTTGACCCTTTCTAGAGTTCTGATTTTTCCGGTTTATTTTCCGAATGACTTGAGGGCTTATTCTCTTTTGCGAGCAAAATGCCACCACATTCTGAACATAGAGCTCTTCAGAATAGCTATTCTAATGAAGAACGATGAGGCAATACAATATACTTGGAATGGACAGTACACTCACAGTACACTAACCCATGAGGTTACATCGGAAATAATAGATACTTGACTAGAAGAACAATAAACGCATATGCTACGAAGGAGGAAGTAAGAAAATTAAGAACACTCTTCTGTACAAAGCATATAGTAAGCAATTCACCTGAGAACTATGCAGCCAGCCAAACAAAAACTCAGCAGTAGTTTGTTTAGAAACAGCATATGTATATAAGTGTCCCATTCAAAGATGACTCGATTCCAGGAAAATTTTCCTGTGGATTAAAGGGCTTCATTGAAAAGGTGAACATAGAATGTAACCATTGCAAATATTTCAGCTCCATCCCATAATCATAATCTATTTGAAGTACAAACCGTCAAAATTTAGCGCCAGAACTTTTATCCATTCAATCACATACCTGTGTCCAGCAACATATACCGGCTGCGGGTCAAGATGTTCATTCGACAGCACACATAATCCAGTCATACTGACTAACGATAGAAAAAAGTTTTGCTTCATATACAATTTAGCAGAAAATCCTCACCTAAAGTGAAGGAAATCCGTCCTTCAATTACTAGACTAGGTCACTAGAGCAACGATCCGGACTGCAATCATTCACAAAGGCTAACCGAAAAAAATCGCCCGACCATTGAGACTGTAATGATCTACTGACCAGTATTTTCGCAAAGCTTAGTTTGGACGCCAGCTGTCATTCGGTCGGTTTCTAGTTGAAAAGCTGTAAACAACACTTTGGAATCTCGTCGCCACCTGGAGTTAATGACCAAATTTCTGCTCTCAAACATCACCGACCTCCCGTTTCAGTCGAATTTTCGGCCACATCGCTTGACGACGAGGTTGCAGTCCTCATTTGGCGTCTAGTCCGTTTGCCAGTAAGAAGATGTAGATCATCATAAAGAATCACTAACACCGCGCTCATCCGAAAAAGACCTCCAAAATAGATGTGACAGCCAACTTTGGACCGACTTTGCCTACAGCTCTGTGGCATCCTCGAAGTCAGCTGTCCATTGTTATCTAATGAAGGCCAGTGAAGAAGTGGCTCGTAAGTGGTAAGATTTTGGCCCTCTAGAAGTTGATTTGTTCTCAGGAACTACAGAAAACTTTTGACCTCTTACGACCTTTACTTTCTGGATGTTTCATGATACTTTATACCTCATGGATATGGACCTGTGGGAGGCGGGAACTTCTTCAGGAGTATTTCGTGGAGAAGACCGTTTTTTGTAGTAATGCTGCTTCTCTGTATTTCACGCCTACATGACAATCAACGAAATAAGGAGAACATCATCAAAATTCTTCAAAGTCAGAGAGTTTACACGGTTGCTGACAGAAGCTTGTCAATCCAGAAGATGCAAGACAGGTTTCCGGTGAAGTTTTGAGTTTAAAAAAATACAGGTAATTCCCAACACCTGGTGATTTGCAATCATCTGTACAACCAAGGTAAATTTATCCTGCCTGAGTTGTGACTGACCATTCTGCTGGTCAGGTCGAATGGTGGAGTTTTGCAAGAGTCGGCAACTAACTGATGGTTCGTGATTTTCAGTCAGAACGTGGCCAAACTGAACACAGAGTTAGATTGAAAAAGCTGCGCAAGATTTCTCGGGTTTTCCACCGCAGAATTAACTCACCTGTGGGGATGAGGTTAACAAGAAATTTGACTATGTATAGGCCATATCTTATCTCCTCAGAAAATCACATCACTGAATAACTACTCGCGATTGACACGTGTGGAACTCACCCACAATTTTGAGTCTTCAGAGACTAGCAAAATGCGCATCGTTTATCATTCCAACAAGGACAAAAATGACTTGTAGTTCTTTCAGGTTCTTCAATATCCAACAGAAATTTCTGGGCAAAAAATTGCACCTAAAACGCGCGCTCTTCCAGGGGGCTTCGTGAAGACTGGAACGTAGTAAATTTGCAGAGTGAAAAGTAACTTATTCAGAAAAAACAGGCACGTGCAGTTCTTCCTCGTTTTTGTCTGTGATGCAACGCTTCCGATTAGGATGGCGGTGATAAATAATGCTTTACGTCGAAAGGAATATTTCTTTATTGACATTCTTAGGTCTACTATGACATGAAATGTGTTATTCACACGACAGCCAATTCCCTTGCAATCCACTCTGTTTACGATGACCGTTTGTAACCCTCCGAGTACCATCTCCAGTGAATTTATGGAATGCTCTGAAACTGCAATCAGTGTTGGTGGCCCGTCATGCATACAGATATGAGGCATCGTTCATTATTTTTCACTTTCAGAGCACTTCACTCGAATACCCAGAAGATCTTGCACCCACTCAAGATGTAGGATCGATGCAATTTACAGAAACAGATTGGTTTAAACTGCAAAATCGCTCAACCGGTAAATCTAGGACACCCATGAGCTGGGCACCGAAAGGGTACTACAGCCGGAAGATTACTTTTTTATACTTCAACAGTCAGGATGTTCGATGTGCTGTTCTTCTTTGCTCTTTGCAGCCAGCGTTTTGGAGCTTGTCAAATAGGGCCAAAGTACTTCTCTGAGGCTGTCTTTGTCGTGATCTTGATCACGGATACATGTTGTATGTGTGAGGGGTACGGTTGAACTCACTTCTTACTGGACTTTTGTGCCAGTTTACTGAATAACGCATGGCTGTCATACATATATCTCGGTTATTGTCAGCTGACAGCTCAGATCCAACGTTTAAGAAGTTCAGGTGGAACTTATCACTACTGATATCGGATAAATGGATGAGGTAATTGGTACATTCAAATTTCTGGCAGATACTTTTGTGCTTTGTCTGTCAATGTACTAGCTACGACTAAGTGTTGGTACCCCCACGTACAATTTTTCATTACAAATTATTTTTTGCAAACAGCCAAGATCATAGCCATTAGGATCATCTGTCATATTGATACTTTGACATGAGCAAAATACTGTATGAGGCCGATCATCAACTTGCCAGGTGCAACTCACCATTTGTTTAGCACTGACTCTGCAATAAATCCCACTCTGTTTCTAACTATTTTCCTAAGCATTAAACTAGTAGCTGGTCAAACGTTACTTTCGAACCTTTGGTGTCCTGATAGTACGATTTGACATCTAGCGTCTTTCAAAGCCAAAGTTCGATGGAACACAAAGTGTCCAGTTGAGAGTTTTGGTTTGCGCCTCTGATGATCATCAGTTGTTCATAGAGCACAAGCTTGCACATTTCTCGCCGGCGTTGAAACCAGTTCAATCTGTCCATCCCCTAGATATTTAGAATCAAGAATATCATGCAAAATGTTTAAGTAACTATTTTTACAAGAAAATAACTGTGAAATAATTTATACATCCTCCATTTGAGGAAAACAAAAACAGGAATTTGTATCTGCATGTTTGATTTCAGCTTGTGGTGATGTGAGACCAGATTCTGTGGAGACCTGGGTTACATTTCGTCTTCTTGCATAGCTCTTTATGGATTTATTTGTTGATACTCCCATTTCGCTTCCAAACTGACGCTTCAGTGTGGGCTTTTGAGGTGGCAGACTGAACTTAACTACACGATGTTCGTTTGGTCCCTTGGGAGAGCTAACTTTTTCTGCAAAGCCAACAGGGGAGGTCACATAGTTGTGAGCAGGCTTGTATAATTCTGTGTAAGTTGAGCATTTGACTGAAGGCAGACTGTGCGTCTGATGAGAGCTTATCTCAGAACGGGTACTGGAGTTATTGTAGTTTGGTTCGGTTGGAAATTCGACAGTGGTACTTTTGTCGTTTTTATTCTTGTGAGTGTGTCCTAAATCTGTCTGACATTTTGTTAGGTTGTGTGAGAGATGTCGCACCTCAAGCTGCAGTAATCGAAGTTCTCGTTGTATATGCCACAGGAAGTTCGTGAACGATGTCACGTCATCTGGGAGAAATCCGTTCTCCTGAACAGTAATTTTGGTTGACGGCCATCTGCATCGCGTTCGACTGACGCGCCAAGGAGATAGCTGCCGTTTTGTTTCATTGCGTCTGACGTTGATTGGAGAGACTCTGAAATACAGAAGGTAGGTAATGAGGTCAGGATTTCGCAACATATCAACTCCAGTTGAGGTGACGTTTTCACGATTGTGACCAGTAACAAACACCAAGTCCTCTAATAATCATATAAAGTGATAAAAAAGGAAACTGTCAAATTCAGTGACCCATTTAGTCAGAAAAAGGGGCTGACACGGAGAATAATTAGTGTAGATCTATATTCTCAATCGATTGGAACGGAATATCTGCTCCTCGAGAAGAACTGTAATACTTCAGCGTTGGACTTTTCAAATACGCGTGGACATTTGTTCATCAATCATCCGTTCATTTGTCTCCATTTCGCAGTTGTTTTGATGCAATCCCTGTTTTTTGTGCGACCATTGGCAGCGCAGTCCACACCATAGGAATCTGATAATATTGATCACCTTGATTTTTAACGCTAAAATGCACCTTGTTATCATGAAAAAGTATATAAATTGGTATGCACCGAATATGGAGCATGAAAGTTTGTCCTCAATTGACCATTTGGAATAATACTTCAATCTCTGCTGAATAGTGCGCAGGAAGCAGTTAAAGCAATGTTGTTAGCAGAAGTACTGTGACCAAAGCCAAACAAATAACAGAAGAACCTATGATATTTAGAATCAAGAATATCATGCAAAATGTTTAAGTAACTATTTTTACAAGAAAATAACTGTGAAATAATTTATACATCCTCCATTTGAGGAAAACAAAAACAGGAATTTGTATCTGCATGTTTGATTTCAGCTTGTGGTGATGTGAGACCAGATTCTGTGGAGACCTGGGTTACATTTCGTCTTCTTGCATAGCTCTTTATGGATTTATTTGTTGATACTCCCATTTCGCTTCCAAACTGACGCTTCAGTGTGGGCTTTTGAGGTGGCAGACTGAACTTAACTACACGATGTTCGTTTGGTCCCTTGGGAGAGCTAACTTTTTCTGCAAAGCCAACAGGGGAGGTCACATAGTTGTGAGCAGGCTTGTATAATTCTGTGTAAGTTGAGCATTTGACTGAAGGCAGACTGTGCGTCTGATGAGAGCTTATCTCAGAACGGGTACTGGAGTTATTGTAGTTTGGTTCGGTTGGAAATTCGACAGTGGTACTTTTGTCGTTTTTATTCTTGTGAGTGTGTCCTAAATCTGTCTGACATTTTGTTAGGTTGTGTGAGAGATGTCGCACCTCAAGCTGCAGTAATCGAAGTTCTCGTTGTATATGCCACAGGAAGTTCGTGAACGATGTCACGTCATCTGGGAGAAATCCGTTCTCCTGAACAGTAATTTTGGTTGACGGCCATCTGCATCGCGTTCGACTGACGCGCCAAGGAGATAGCTGCCGTTTTGTTTCATTGCGTCTGACGTTGATTGGAGAGACTCTGAAATACAGAAGGTAGGTAATGAGGTCAGGATTTCGCAACATATCAACTCCAGTTGAGGTGACGTTTTCACGATTGTGACCAGTAACAAACACCAAGTCCTCTAATAATCATATAAAGTGATAAAAAAGGAAACTGTCAAATTCAGTGACCCATTTAGTCAGAAAAAGGGGCTGACACGGAGAATAATTAGTGTAGATCTATATTCTCAATCGATTGGAACGGAATATCTGCTCCTCGAGAAGAACTGTAATACTTCAGCGTTGGACTTTTCAAATACGCGTGGACATTTGTTCATCAATCATCCGTTCATTTGTCTCCATTTCGCAGTTGTTTTGATGCAATCCCTGTTTTTTGTGCGACCATTGGCAGCGCAGTCCACACCATAGGAATCTGATAATATTGATCACCTTGATTTTTAACGCTAAAATGCACCTTGTTATCATGAAAAAGTATATAAATTGGTATGCACCGAATATGGAGCATGAAAGTTTGTCCTCAATTGACCATTTGGAATAATACTTCAATCTCTGCTGAATAGTGCGCAGGAAGCAGTTAAAGCAATGTTGTTAGCAGAAGTACTGTGACCAAAGCCAAACAAATAACAGAAGAACCTATGGAGGAAAATGTCGGTAGCGTAGATGGTCGTCGGCTTGTTAACTAAACTGGGCAGTTTGATTGCAAACATTTCATCACCAATCGAGATGACATGATCAGTGCGTTATTGGGGAGCGTAGTTGTGCGTAGCGGTGGGTTAGTGATTGTGCGTTGGGTAGTGTTACGTGTGTGTTGATGTACGTGCTTGTAGCCGGGGATGACCTTTGATCGCGACTAGTTGTTCGCTCGGGCGGTTCCATTGGTTGTTCCGTTATCCAATGTCCTCATTCCCCAATGCCCTCGTGACCTTTGAGCTTGGCATCCCTCGCCGCCGTAGTCCGGTCGATGTTGGACTGACCTTTTTTCCATCCGAGTTCCGGCTTGTGAGCTTTATTGATTTGACTCCGAGGAGTTCCTTGTTTCTTTGCTGGTGAATCCAAAATTCGGTCCTCCTTGAGTGTTCCGGTTGAGATGTTGGTCTTTTGCACGTAGAGGTGCGTAAATTGAATCCTGTTCGATGCACCGGTTGATCAAGACTACCGTGGAGTACCATGCTTCCAGAAATTCTTTTCCGTGTCGCGTGTCTCCGTATGCCAAAATTTTCGAGTTTTCCAGATTGAACTTGTCGCCTTCTTGGTCCTGTTTATAGATTATCTGACAGGGGGTCATTTCTCCTGACAGCCGCGTTGTGTTCCTTTATTCGTGTGCATCATCTCCTCCCAGTTTGTCCAACATAGAATTTGTTGCAGTTGCTGCAGTTGAGGTGGCATATCAAATTGTTTCTCTTGGTTTTGTCCCGGTTGTCCTTCGGTCTAGAGGTTAATTTCCTTAGAATAACATTCGGTTTGTGGGCCACGAAGATTCCTTTTTGAGCCAATAATCTGGTTGTGAGTTCTGATATGTTCTTGATGTAAGGTAAGACTACCCGCCTAGAGGCTTGTTCTTGCTGTTGAACAACCGATGGAACCGCCCGAGCGAACAACTAGTCGCGATCAAAGGTCATCCCCGGCTACAAGCACGTATATCAACACACACGTAACACTACCCAACGCACAATCACTAGCCCACCGCTACGCACAACTACGCACCCCATCTGATCATGTCACCTCGATTGGTGATGAAACGTTTGCAATCAAATTGCCCAGCTCAGCGAACGAGCCGACGACCAGCAAGAACCGTTTGTATAGTTGGCGACATTAGATGAAATCTCTTAGAATGATAAACATTTGGTCAGGACAGAAGACGATACCCACTGATGCACGAATTTTGATCAAGTAAAAGTTACGGTCAGTTTCATTGCTGTACAACCTGCCTAACAAAAGCAAAACTCACTCATTTAGAGATTGTAGTCTGCTGGAGGGTACCGAGGTGTTTGTTTCACAAATTTCATATAGATTCGGACAGGATGTGGTAATTAATTCAGTGGGTTTAGCGTTATTGGAGTAGGTTTTTCGCATGTTATTGGGTCCATTTATACCAAATGTTTGTGAAGCATCCCACGAACTTCCGGTGGTCGGCAAAACAGGTGGACGAGTTGTATCATCGATAAAATCTAAAGTTTCATATAAATGGGGGTTGTAATAAAACGGGTCCACACACACCGACGTTCCACTTGTTCTACGACACGTAGGTGGGTTTTGATCCTGGGATCCTTTGCAAGTTGATAAACGCTGCAGGTATGTTTCACTAGTCGAATCACGCAAGCCTTTACTGGTGAGACTCTGATTGCTGGAGTTTCCGGAACTGTAAACTGAATCAGCGCGCATATTTGCAAAGTGACGTACACCTTCTGCTCCTTTTCTACTAATTGGTCGCTGAAATATTTCAGTAGACTGTGTTGACTCGACCGATTTGTGGTCCTGTTGCTCTGCCCCGTTTGCTTTCAAAGTGATTGCGGGGAGTACCTCACTGGGCGACTGAAATATAAAAGGAATAAACGATTGAGAGCAGAACTGAATCTCATGAGTAATTTAGTCGCTAACTGTTGTGCCATTTGATGTGCAGTGTTAAACTGTAAAGACAGTGTTAGAGACAATTGTGCCCCCGGAATCATGGAGATCTTACCCAGTACAGTATTCCTTCTAATATTGAAACTAAAGCAAGATATATTCTGTCCCCACCCCAGTTGCCTGTTTTACCTTTAAAGTGAGTGTCCTCACGTTTGACTATCACTCCAGATAGCCTGTCATATCCACAGCGGATGCATCAACAACCTTTATTGCCGAAATCCAACCTGATTTGACTAGACCAGTAAAGTAGGTTATGATATGAATATAAAACCACTTATTTGATGTACAAAATTGAGGACGTATGGCTAAAAGGTTGGATGAGCGGTCATCACTGATTTCGTTGTTATCTCAGAATTTGTGTTTACTATAACCCGATGTGTTTAGTATGTCTCATTCAAGTCTGGCTAGGTTAAAAATCCATGAAGCTCTAATGTGCCGAATGATGAGGAATAGTACACCCGTTGAACCAGTGTGTTTGCTACTAATGGGCAGATTCAGCGTTTAGCGTTTAATTCAAGCAGAATAAACAGTGCAATGACTGTCTGGTAGTTGGTCACCAATATCAAGGAAAACCAGCGCCTGTTATTCCATCTGTTGTCACTTGACCGCTACCTACAATAAGTCGTCATACCAACTCATTCCATTCTCACAAAGAAGAATTCCCAATGATGGTGCGGCTTGAATGATCGCAGAAGGCGTACAACATCAGCAGCACCAAAACTGGCAAGGTGGACGGTGTATCCGGAAAGCACGAAATAACTCCGGTTGGAACGATCGATTAAATAATGGGATGAACAAATTTTATTGTGTCTAATTGTCCTCAGTTTAAAGGTGCCAATTATCTGGTTGGACAGGATTACAGGTCAAATAGAGCACACTACCAGATACAGGTTTTCTAATCCTCTTGTGAAACCTCACTCGCATACTAATGCTGAGCAACCGGTGGGCGTTTTTAGTGAGTAGGGAAAGAATGTCATCTGAACAGGCCGGTTGCTAAGTGAAGAAGGAACCAAGCAGATTTTTTAATATCTCTGAAGCCAGACAGACCACCTGTTTCAGCTAGATGGAGATAGTCATTGAAGTTTGTTCACATATTCAGCTACTGCATTATGTTAGTTGGCTTGTTTTTTGAGATATATTAGAACACTGCTGCATAGAAAAGAACGTAGAAAAAAGCTGCATAGAAAACTGCATTATGTTTTACATTCAAAAAAGACATCATATACATGCGAAATTCTAAAACGCTTCTTACGCTCCATCGTCGTATCAGGCTATTTAAAACTGCTAAGTAAAGGCAACTGTTTGATTGGATAGGTGGATAACACCTAGTCCCACCGCCAGTGCAAGCAACGAATTCACCTTTGGATGATTTGAATCTGGGTTCTACCTAGGACTTTTGATTGTCTCGAGCAAGCAAAAAAGCGAGCTAATTAGCATGCTTTTCTTGGACAAAAGTACAATGCCTATGTAAGTCAAGCGCACAGCCTTTGAGCAATCATACAATGCAAAACTGTCACAGGCATTGATTATTAGGAAAGCTAACACTAATTATTGTACAGGGAAAAGTAATCAATGCGGGATATACCTAGATCGGAGAATAGGATCACGGAGGACGATCGACCGACACATACTGACGTAAGAATAGTCCACAAAAATAGACTGCAAGCCGGGGTAGATGAATATTTTCACACATACCTGGTAGTGGAATATTGATCACAGCCAATCAGGAACTGATCAACATAGAGGATTCACTTAATGTTAATACTGTCTTTTAAAAAAAAAAAAACTGAAATGGATATAGGATCATCGCGGAATATTGTGTTCAGGTGGGAATTGTGCCATATTATTGTAATAAAATGCCTACTCTGTACAAAAATTAGAATTATGATACAACATCCAAGGTAATCACGAAGGAGTAATCGGGAGAAACTTACCACAGCCTCGTAGCCTTCTCTGATATTGAAAGACAATTCTGTGTGTAGTGCTGCCGCAAACTCTTTTTGAAATACTGGATATTGTTCAAGGAGTTGATGGAACGGTGGGTCCAGAGCAACACACTGGAGTTCGCAGTAAGTGAGTGATTTGACATCATAAGCAGAAAAGCCCATTTTTGGAAATTCATCGATATCCGTTCCAAATATATCACATTTTCCTAAAATAACGGTTATCCAGGGAGAATATAAACAATGGTCTAATTGCTTTATGTCAAATAAAATTGTATTTCCTGAACTGTAAGAGAACACAATAGTGTACAACTCTTTTATTTTGAAAACTTGATGAGAAATCGCGTCGATGTTTATTGCGGTGGCCATTTTCGGTAGATGATTTCCTGTTCAAAGTACAATGTAAGATCAATCAAGTTTGGAAGAACAGTTTGGCGAGCTATACTGGCATCCAACAGGAAAAAAATAAGAGAGTGATGAAATTCTTCGTACAAAAAAAATTACCGCAGAATGGATTCAGTTAAACGAATGTAGCCCAAATTCTCACTGCGAATCGACTTCATTTCTCCAGCATTCTTATTAAAGATTGTCAGGTTTCCCAAAGGGAAGTTATTTGTAGTACTACACAGATCGATGAGAACCTTTGCTTCCGTAGAATTCTGGAGGATTGAACTCACAGAACTGCTTAATCGGACTTTCTAAACGGTAAGCCTCAGTTCTACGAGATTAATATAGGACTGCTCGAAATTTCTGAGACACTTTTACATTCAAATCCAATTGAGATTGGAAAGTCTAATACTCCGTTTGTGGTATAATTTGTGTTCTACAACGCTGTTCTTCCAAACCTCTGAAGGTGTTTGTTTGCAGGACTGTGGTGCAGCACATTAATTCTAGTGTGGACTTTTGTGGGTGATGTGTAGGTCGATATTGTGGAAAATGTGGATGATCGCAGACAGTACCTTCAGTGGTAAGCGCTAACGACACGCTAGAATCTCCGCCTCACTTTGATCAATTGCTATTTTTCGGTGCCATGCCGCCTAAACCTGGACTTTTGTGGGTGATGTGTAGGTCGATATTGTGGAAAATGTGGATGATCGCAGACAGTACCTTCAGTGGTAAGCGCTAACGACACGCTAGAATCTCCGCCTCACTTTGATCAATTGCTATTTTTCGGTGCCATGCCTTATCGCCTAAACCTTGGTTGTGACAGTGCAATATGATATCCTTTGACAAAACAACGTCACCTGATAGCGGAGCGACACATCGAATTCCGAAGCCAGGAAACTCCAAGCGAGGAACGTTTCCGAAACATGCGGAAAAACGACGATGGAGTTGACATTATTACAAAGAATAATATGAAAAAAATTACAAAAAATGAGACTTTCGTTGCATGACATGCATCTAAGTTGGAAATTCCGCCTTTTGTCAGTGTACCACGAACTACGGAGTTCAAGACTTCCGGGACCTTAGTAGTTGAATTGGCGCATTATCCAGGAGATGGAGAGATTGATTCTGTGGATCGAAAATTCCTTCGTTTACGCATAACTCTTGTGGCTGTTCACACCAACCTCATGGTGTAGCCAAATAAGTTTAGTCGCTATACCCACAAACGTCAGGTCATAAACTTTGTTTTGTCTGTTCTAGGTGATCCTTCAACCACAGGATGCTTCAGCACCAATATTCCTGTTTCGGTATGCAATGAAAAGATCAATCTAATTGTTGAGCATTTGCTCCCAGACCTCTAATAAGCAAAGGAGAAGGAGCACCAAAGTTACGGGAGGGCACGATTTGTTCCTCCATAAAACAAGTAACAGAGATGAGGTATCACAGTTTACATTCTTATTCTAAAATTACGAAACAAGCCAATTGGTCCAAGGCAGTTTCGGAGTAAATCTCAGGCTTTTTTGACTACATAGGACAGGGTGCGTTAAATGTCGATCCGATTCCTGGCAATCGACTTACTGAGCGGAGTTGATTTGAGGTCATCTTGTCAGCTTTTCCCATATGTGTCACAGCGATTTGCAGGCGACTTTGAAAGCTGGATGAACCGTTCATGAAACCGAAGTTGGCAGTTTGACAGGTGTGTGTATTTATTTGCACGCAATCCTGCTGCATTATAAATCCGGGCCCAGATGACTTATCAAGTATGAGCACAAACTTAGAGGAAATGATCATAAATTTAGTTTTTGATACTGTCGTAGGATCTCCGGTTCATCTCTCAAAAGGACGTTTCCTATGATTCGATCAGGGCGCATCTGGGAGCTACTTATACTCCTTGCGCGAATAAATCCGATACGCATATTTGTCTAGTTCAAGGCCCACAACACGGTCCTCGTGAAACGAAATAGACAGTTTTGAAGTTCATCCGTCGTCTACAGTGTGCAGCTTTCACTTACACAGGACACGACGTAATTGTTTTGATATTTGGAAATTATAAAATGGAGTTTAAAAAAGAAGCTTTGCTGTCACCTTTGGAATTTGCTAGTAGATAAAGTGTTCTGATGCAGTGTTAAAAACATAACTCAGGTGTCCAGCCTGTTGCTTAGTGTTCATGACGAGTGATGTCTTACCTATCACTTCTCCATTTTATTTATCACACGTAAACTTCCGTCAACTGCTCGCCTTCGGCCACAAAACGTTTGATTGTGTTTCGCTACAGAAGGCATCCTAGACATTCTTCTAGCTTGTACTCTAAAGCTGAACTTAACTTTATTGGTAATTAGAATGTGGATGAGATGGCTGACGAGAACTGAGCGAACTTCCAGGTAGCTATCTAAAAATTAAGTTGAAGATATTACGCACTGAGCAACCACAATTTCCAGGTGATTTCACAAGACGGCATATTTCTTACCATTGATCAAATTATTTTGGCCACAGATAAAAACATGGAGAAAGCTGGAGCTTCACACAAACAAAGGTGTTGCAAAAATCGTGTCAGTGTGCTACTTTTATCTGACCATAAGCTTCAGTATTATTAGATCGTCTATCTAGGGGGCTAGTTTTACTACCACTAGGAGATGGCTTTCGCTGACTCTACATTGTGCCATTTTTTTAAAGTGTAACACGAGGCTCCGCGGTTTGGTGTTGCTGTTCAACAGGAGCTGGGCTCCTGCGTCGACATACGTGGCCGTCAGAGCAGTATATTTGAATGTAAAAAGTATGGTTTGTCGTTTGACCCCTTGTGGCTGACGGCATTTTATGCTTCATTAAAATTACGGTGTCGTATGTTGTTGATTTTATATGGAGATTTTAGGAGGCGCTGTCATGCGAAATAGAACGAAATATTCAGCCTACCTAACAGACCAACCACAGTTCCTTGTACATCCAATATTTCCAGTGATCCGCTGCACACAAGATAAATATGACGCAGGAGATCCCCACGATTTACCAGATATTCGCCTGGTGTAGCGAATCGGGTTTTGATCAGTTGGGCTAGACATTTCCGACATCCGGGGCTGGCTGTTTTGAACATGGAGAGTGATAGCATTTCTCGATTCAAATGCAAAGCAATATCCCCTCTGACATTCTCCGGAAATGATTGCATAATCTAAAAATCCGAAAAAAAGGTTCACCAATTAATAGCCAGAGACGTTCCACCAGCCGTTTATAGATAATGAAAAGTAGCCGACTCGCTGCATAGAAATTTAAATGAACACATACACAGCTGTGTACTGTTTTCCTATCATGCTATTTGAGAGTCCATGCTAAGAGGTCCCAGCTACAGTAAATAATGTGCTTTAGCTCAGTGCATAAACCCAAAATTGGAAATCCCATGTGAAACTAGAATTTAGAAGTGGCCTGACTGCTGCTAAGGTGAACTAAGAACATTTATTTGCCTCAAACAAGCAAGCGTTTTGGAAACTAACCGCAGGACTAAAGAACATGAGGTCAAACTCCAAAAATTCGAAATAGCCAAGACTACCGAAAGATTAGGGACTATCAAGTGATGGTGATTCCATCATTAAATATTGGTCAAGTGGCCACGCTAATTTAACGATAAATTGAAATCCCTGGACCACCGGCGGTCATATGGTTCCCATATCGACAGCTTTAAACGGACAGCCAAAAGATTAACTCAAGGATGCCAGTTTGTTTTCATTGATAACGAAAGACCTCTGACTGTTGAAGATTCTGCAAAGTGGTCTAGCGTTTTGTTGTCACTGTGCTGCTAAAAACGTTGTAATGCTTTTTAATTTTGACATGATTTAAGGTCTTACCCATGAGACTGTGCACCAGTATCATTTGTATCATTCACGCACCTATCAATTGACTCCTTTTTGCTTATTTACTAAAAGTATGAAATTTTCAATTGGGAACTGATTACGTACAGGATGCTGTGTTGCTTGCGGTGCTGTGTTGTTGCCTCGCGGCACACTAAATCGGCTCAGCGAACAAACCAACGACCATCCAGGCTACGTGAGCTACCGACAGTTTCCTCTGCAGATGTTGATTTTGCGGAGGGTACCACACCTCTACATCATTTATTGGCATTTCATAAGCACTCTGAAGTCAACAACAACTCTGAAGTCATCAACAATACACGGACCGGCACGGTAGAGGACTTTTACTGTTCCTTCACTTTCAGTGATACGAGAAGGTTCTCCCATGTCAGTTCCAACTTGTTTATTTTTGTAATCACTTTTTTACTGAAAAACGTGCCACCTGGAAAGGCACGTCCCAAACCAAGCAGGACTCAACTTGGTTGTCCTTCACAAATTATCTTCAAGTAACCAGAATGCACCGCTTTGAGTTTCACAAAGCAAGAAATCCAATAGTGATATCATATACATTAAAAAAAACCAGATCAAAATTATGCCCACTTCTTGGCGACCTGTGTTTTCCTACCGTGCGCTGTTCCCACCTTTTAATAATTATCCTTTACTGGTAAGATAAGTGCTCCGTGGTTGAAAACAAACACTTGCATTATGCGATTAGCAACCATGGTGGAAGTTAACAATCTGGTTAAAACATGCATCCGTGTATAATTTTGTCCATCAAAATACAACAATAAAGTCTTTTGAGGTTTACTGACAATGTGACCATTCGGCTTGGCTTCCCTTGCTGTCGTTCACTAGTTATTGTTCGACTGACCTCCATCCTTGACCTATCTGGGTTTTGTGTTTTTGTGACCTTCGTTAAGGTGACTTCAAGATGTTTCCTATTTCTTAGTTTCTGTGCCCGGCTATTTATGAGTTGTCCATTTGGAGTGCTGCGGCGGTGCATAAATTGAATTGAGTTCAACATGCCGGTTGATCATCCCCACCACAGATTCCCTTCCCTATCTCTAGCTTGCATGTGCTACGATTTTGATTTACTTATTCTTCAAATATCGGGATCAAGATAAATGTCCATGTGTTAAGATTCTGCGTTAGGTTCCTTTTTACGTGCACTTTGCGCTCCTGATTTGTCCAAGATGTAACTTGTTATGTTTTGGTTTTAACGAGGTCGCCTAAATTAGTATTTCCCACCCGGTTTGTGAGTTCGCTGGATTGTTTGTTGAAACCGACTAAAAACTCCTGGATGACAAGACTGGGTTTGATTGGTTGGTCCGTAGGAAATTAATTAAATCAACACGTTCTATAAAATATACGGTTCTACCAGGATTTCTAAATGAAATACTTTACTGATGGTCTCAGACATGAACAACTCAGTAGGCACATAGTATGACGCACCCTAACTTGTGGTATCGGTCATTTTGGATCGAAGGAAATGGACGACTATCTTCATACACTCGATGAAAAACTGGTGTGAGACAAGCTATAAACCGGTGGTGCAAATGTAGGCAACTTCTGTAAACTTAGCGATTTGGGATCTTTCGATCTTTCTGAATGAGCTCTGTGTATTGCAGCGAAAACTGCAGTAATCAGTTTATGTGCTATGCATGCCAAATGGTCCATTGACTAAAAGTGTTTTATTTTCCGTGCACATTTCAGATTGGCGGAAGCAGAGAGGTGGCCAATGTTTGATATGACAGAAGTGTATGGAAATTTGCGTGGGTCGCGGCGAATTATCTTCCAATATGTCGTCCGCTTAATCCTCACTATGTATATTTCTAGACACCGCAAGATGTGGTTGTCAGTGTCGCTCTTGTTGTTACTTTCTGTTCAGATTTTCTGAAATAATGTCTAGAGATTTGGGTAGTGGATATCGGATGAATTCTAAGTGTAGTGAGAAAAATTCACTGGAACTGAATATTTCGGCAAGTTGTTTTTCTACAAATGTTTCTGCATTTCACCAATTACTCTAAGGGCAGTGTAAAATGCACTTTCTCACGATAGTTCATAGTGAATTTCTGGTTTCTCAGCTGGCTGAGCTACTCAACTTTTAAGTTACTTGTGGAATATGATTTGCGAATCATTATTTACTGTAGCACGTTTGTGTCGCAAAACTCAGCGGAGACTTTACCTTTTTCATGCATTTTTTGTTAACGTTTTGTAGCGTGCCTAACTTACAAATTGCCGGGAGACCATTGGAAGGGACACCCTCAGGTTGAGTTGCTTTCAAAACAAGGCATGCTCAGAGAAAATGCTCATTGTTTTGTTGCCTGAAGCACAGTGGCGAAGCCTCTATCAGACCAGAAGACATAAATCTACTGTGTGTTTAACTTTAGTACTGAAACTCGTATTCTTAATCTTTTATGATCTCTTTAAGAACGAATGTGTGCTTGTTGAGAGCGACAGAATATCCCTCTGGTTTCAGAATGAAAGAAAATCTAATGTGCACTTTTAGAGTGATCAGTATTTGCCTTTCTAATTTCCTGAGAGATTTCAAGCAGAAGTCACAGCGACGTCAATGTTAACGTTACTACCTGTCTTAACGGCGTCAGTGTATAACACACCGTACAACGTTCCTTCAACCAGACTTTGTTAAGGATTAGAAAATGCACGTAGCAGCCTAAGTTTTCTTTCCCCGATGAATGGCGAGACAAAGGCCGGCACGTTTTTCATAGTTTAGCTGCTTCCGGGAGAGTACCATCTTGAGCGAACTAACAACCAGTCTGGATTCCGATTTCCTTTTTCAAACGTTTCATAATGAACCTTTTGTGTTTGGTCAACAATTTCATTGTAATGCTAATATCGTCTCATGCTTTCTTCTGGTTCCCAGAAAACATACATCGCAGTGGCTTTCCTCTAAAGGACAATCCGCTATATTTTGGAAAGGTGCAAATAAGCTCATCTCCGATTTGAAACATAATCCACTAGATGCTATGCCTCTCTGTAGACAGTTTTGAGAGACAGACGCTTCGTTTGTCAACGAAACTCATTGATTGTCGGTGTGCGAAGGAGTGCTTTGTTCAAAGGTTTGGCTGGTGTGATTTTGGACCACTGTTTAGGAATATTCTTTGCTGGAAACTCCGTTGGCCATTTTTAAAATGCAGGATTGCGCATAACCATCTCTATTACGTGGTGGGGTGCAAACACAAGAAAAATGTACCCTGAATTATTAGGACCGTTTATGATTTCCAGGGAGGGCGAATTTTCATCGCAGCATATTCGACTACCATTGCAGATGACGTGGGCACACAGAAGTGTAGGTAAGTAAGCTCCCGTTAAATTTAGACAATGTGTCGGACAAACGTGGTCCAAATACGGCAACTTGAGGTGACAACCTGGCCACGTTAGCGAATGGAATATCTACTTCTGAGTCCGCTTAATTGTGCAGCTTGTTTTGATTACGTAGATCTGATAACACGAATTTTATGGGTGCATAGACTTTCAGAATGTTGCGCTGTATAATGTTTTAAGTAGAAGCAGTATGTAAAGATAGTATCAGTTACCAGTTATCAGTTATCAGTATCAGTTATCAGTTGTCAGTGAACCACCCGAAAACTTTGAACGAATGTCGGTTGGATATGTATTCGTCGCCATGCTCAGGGGACAAAATTGACCAAGAGTTCATTATCATGTGTTCAAAGTTTGGATACGGGCAGGTGCTTTGATCATACACATAGGTGTCAAACTGCACTTTCTCGATAACACAAACAACAGACAGTCCAGAATCAGAAACTTGTACAAAACTTGACTCAACAACCGTCAGTTTTCCTATTATATAAAACCTGAAGAAAATATGTTATCGCTACATGTTCTGCGAACAATTGGAGCAATATTCATAGGAGCACACTGAAAAAACACTGCAAGATTTATATATCTTTCACATTTCAGTTTCGAAATCTTTTCGGTAGCGCATAATTGTAGAACGCTCGAATCGCAACTGTGATAACATCACATGACTACTTTGATGTTCGCCTTCAAATAGTCTACTGATCGACCGAAAACGCGCATATATAACCCATAGCATTTAACAGGACTTAAAAACCAATTGCACATCAGACAGCAAAATTTATCATTGTCGTATTTTTGTTCCCTGCATATATAATTAGACTTTAGTAGGTTAGCTCATGTATTTTCCCTGAATAAGGCGATATCTTGGAAAATTCGGTCAAAGGTTTATCACATGCATCAATTGATATCAAGCTGGAAGACTGACGAGCCGGAAATCGCGGAAATCCACAAGAACTTATCAAATAGTATGGTGTCATTCTAGATAGTGATGCTGTTCGTTATCGTAATTGGCCTGAACTCAGGGTGAATTAACGACGTTGTGTTATGGGGCAAAACTACTACTAGACCAAATTAAAGATAAAATCCTGATCTTTCAGACGCAAAATAGGTTAGTAGTGAAGTAGGATATCTAACGTTGAGTGATGAGGGACATGGAGGAACATAGGAACACGCTACGCATAAGAGTGCTGAAAACTCCGCAGCAGTCGGCTTCGCCCTACTTGGGGTTTAGACATCGTTCTCAAAAATTCTCAACCGTTCTTCTACTTGAACACCAAAGGAGTGTTCATGGACGATGACGAAAACCCTAACTGGTTTGTCTTGACACCGGGAAAGGAAGAAGTATTGTGCAATGAAAAAACATCTTGTCCCACCAGAACCATGCAATCAGAAAGACCGACATACACTAGGTGAGGTAGAGGAATGAGTTTTCTGGTCTTTAGGTTTTTCGTTTTTACTTGATCTATTAACTACCAGCAGTACGCTTATGCTTGGGTTTTGCTGCCGTAAAGTGTATTATGACACAATGGAAGCAAGATTTGCACAAGTGTAATGTTACTACGGCTCAGTTAACAGGAAAGTTATGATGAGCTGGGCCTGTCAAAAACAGACCAGTCTGTCTGATATCTTGTTGATTTCTGGCTGAAGGCGTGTAATCCCACAACCAATCAGTCATTTTCTGTCAACCAGCAAACATTACCTGGCTTTCCCGGGTAACTTTTGACTTTTTTCAACTGTCACCAGAAAACTATTCGGAGACAGAGCATAACAGACCGAGGTATTCTTCAAGTTTCACTGTGTTATGGTTTAAAACATTTGAGGAATACTGACCATGTAGACAATGCGCAATTAACAATCAGATTTACTGGGGCAGGATGTGGTTGCTCTTTTTGTATGTGATAAAATGCTGAGTCAAACATCACACTTAAAGGTAGGATTACTCTCACATCACCCAGAGAAGAGGTTAACAATCTAACCATATTGTGCTAGGTTATGATAGAACACTCTCGGCTGAAGTCATTCAGGTCTAAACTGTACATCTGTATTGTAACGAATCTACACTTATTGGTGCATGCTGGATGGGTGTTTTCTTAATTGTTAAGCCTAACCAAATTGATCTGCGGCTGTGATGTAATGAGAAGAGGCCAAAAAATCAGTTATAACTAGCATAGCATGATAAAATAACTCACTGCTTCTTTGTCGATTCCACGATTGATGGCCCACATGGCCTGAAAAAACTCCAGCATTCTTTGTTTGAGTGGTTTTGGAATGTGATGTGCCCGAGTGAAGTCTTTTAAATCCTGATTTTTTGTCTGATAGGCTGATCGTCTGGCATACATCCGCTGAATCAGTGTGGTGACATTTCCAAAAACGGCGGCGTGCATAAGTGCTGAAATCGACAGACAGCATAACTTGTTATTGTCTATAATGGCGAACATCAAACAGTCACGGTTACCATAGCACGTGGAGGGAGATCCGGAAACTAACGTGTGATATTGACAGTCCATGAGTGCGCCTGTTATTGGCGGCTCCGTTTGCTTTGCAGTTGCATCCGTTCAGATCAGTTCACTTGAGCCCAGAAATAATGTGACCTCCCGATGCAGCCACTAAACTGTATGCTGCCGTTAGGTAAGTTGTGAACACACCATTTATAAATGATCAGGGAAGACTTAACAAAAATGTCCTTGTTCCCCATGACTGTCAGAACGTTAGGTGCATTTCAAACATTTCAAGCTCCATTTCACCCCTCTCTGAAACTACTCTGATTCGGTTAACACAGAGTTACATGTGACCATGTTGTGATACCCGTTTTGTGCGGTTCCCTACAAATAAAAGGGCGACTCGAAGAGACTGAGTGGTAAAGAAGCTGCACACAATAAGTGATAAAACCTGATCAGTTGGCACGCTAGGTGACCATTTCTGTGCGCTTGTTGGGTGAGCATTGGTTTCTCCACAAAGTCATCGCTGTACTGTTAGCGTACTGCTGTGTCACCGCAGCATCCATGAGTTTGGGATTTAACTATTAGGAAACAGAAAAAGCATATTTGCACAAATTCGCACATAGGCCTCACATTTGTCACATTTTCCTTTGGCATCATGAAAAAAAATTGTGTTTTGTAGAAGACAAATTTGATCCTTTGGACCCACTAATAGAATAGACGGCCTTTATTCAAAATTTAGTAACAAATAAGGTTTTTTCCCATCTCGGCCTACTTCCGTATGCGATATCACCTCGTTGCATTCCGTTTAAAAATCGAAAAACGTGGATCTTCCCATTTCGTTTTTAGAAAACTAAGTATGCGCAAACTGGAAAATGTCAACATTTTTTACCTTGTTATATGCACCCTAAGAAAAAGCACTTTTTTCGAAAGTAAATGAGAAAATAGTGTTGGGCGCATGTACTCAAATCACGAGCCAGGTGGCTGGATTTTCTTTACTCACAAAACGGGCCCATAACCACAGTCGATAAGGGTAAATTCGTTTAACCGATTTATATATTTCTGGTTTTTTTTAATGAGAAGGCACCGAGCGTATGTTGCGGTTAGCTCGACAACAGGTTGTTTGAAAATGCCTCGTGAGTTACGATCATGATTTTCAGTTCTACCAACTGACTCAGGGAGAGGACTCGTGCTTTCGTTTCGGAAGCGTGGGGTTGCCAGGCTCATCAGCCACAAATCCAAATCCACTACCAACCGGAAACCAATCCCACCTCCAACCGAAAGCACGCCCCCTTGTCAAATTCAACGCGAACGGTGGAATCATCCCGGTCAAATCGCACAGTATTTTTGACACGATGAAAGCAGAGAAAATCAGGGATGTATTTCAGGAGGCCTGTTTATGTCACGTAGATTGGATAAATTTGCGGTGGAATGACGCGTATTTATTGAACTGACTTGGGTTCTAGTGGGCTTGTTCCCGAATTTTCGGTACCTTTTCAGTCGAGCCATAACATATTTTTATGATTACGATCGTCCCTCTGTAATTAACGTTGCCATTTCAAGGTTCACCAAATCAGGCCGCGGCATTCGTCATTCACTCAGACATGTCCATCTTGACCCCACCTATTGGTCATCCTCTCTGTGGCCCACAGACTATTTTTAATGTCATTCCCAGTAGTCAATCTCACTGATAGGCATCGGCGTGGGAATCATGTTTCGATGCATCGACAAACTGCGAATTTTCCTCAGCAGGCTGAAAATTTTGCAAGGCACACCACCTTGCAAACCAGTTTATTTTTATATAGAGAGCCTCTGAATATATCGTGTATGATATCCTTCAAGTTAATGTGTCGCAAAACCACCAGGTGCTATTAATATGGAGACGTTCTTTGAGATGTCACAATGTGTTTCTAATACGGCTGCGCATCAGCCTACTACGCAGTGGAACAATCATGTGAAACAGAGCCGTGCGATTACGCCTGTACGTCTGAATCACGTCGGATTGGATCATGTGCCGGAGAAAGGTCAAAAAGGGACACAAAGTTCACGCCCACTCCAAGGCAAAGGCACCCCGTACACAAGCACACAGACGGCCATCTGTGATCAACCGAGACAAAGGAACAACCGCCGGAGAACCGATGTGGGCGTGCAGGAGACACTGGTTGGTAGACAGTGGATCGACCATCATATACGGTCACAAGTGAATCACATATATAGAAAGTTGTAATTGCGTTAACACACAGTTACTTCTGGTCGCCTTCTTGTCTTCTGACTATAACTCAGTAGCGTCAGGGAAAGTGAAGAGATACAACAGTTTCATTCAAAAAGCACTATACTCAAGAATTAGCTGAAAGCTGTTCTAGGCGTTTGCAGCAACCTCCTACGTAGCGTCTCTTCAAGAACAAAGGTAGCTTGCGGAGTTCACATTACAGCGGACTTTATCTCTTTTCTTCAGTGCGCAGGCTGATATAAATAGCCTCAAACGTCTACCATTAAGCACTACGGTTTATGTGATATTGTTGTTTTGAGGGTAGTACTGTCTGTGGCCCGTCACCAAGGTGCAACTAGCAAGATCGGTGTGTTTTCGAAAAGCCGTAGGAAGCTCGTTGACTACTGGGGTTTCGCGGGATAGATATTTTTGTTCATAGCGCACCACTCCCGTTTGAACGGCCGGGTTCCTGTTCTGGGCGTAATTATTCCGCTGAGTCCACACTAAAGGGAAGCACTGGACTCGAGTTTCGCTCTTATTAGAGCAATTAGATTATCCCTAACTAACTTCCCATTGCTAAAAATGTGTTTCAAACGACGCATCTCCACTTTGTTCCAGAGATGCTTTATAAAAGCAAACAAAAACCCTTATGACTCTAGACAAGGGAAAGCACACACTTGGACTTTTGAGTGCCATAGTCCATACAGCTACCATCCTTCATCCAGAAAATGGCGTATAGAGTAATTTTTCATACTGTGCCTACTAATACATATATATTTATATATAAAGTGAAGTCCAGTGTTACCGACCTACATGTCAGTTTCTGATAAAACTTCATTTGAAACTGCCATCAGTACGCAGACAAATGGGTCGCTTTGGGTTAAGTGGACAACTATGAATCTGCTTCGGAATAAGGTACAAGAATAAAAAAGAAGGCAGCCAAAGGCGATGAGAATCGTTGATGTTGTATTTTTTTACCAATATTTCTTGAAGCAAAGGAACCTTATACTGCATAGTGAGCAATCTTCTAACTAGTTTACGTGTCGGATAAAATTCGTCTAAACAGTCTATAATAACGCAAAGGTGCGGGTCAGAATTAATTATGTGTCGATCAATTTTATGTCACACAAGAAAGCGGAAATTTACACGAACTCTTCAAAGAAAAACTTCACAGTTCACCACCTTCTCTTTTAACGAAAATTACGGGACATCGTATTATACGCCATATGGTGAACCGTTTGAAAAATAGCAGTCAGTTTTGGCCAACGATCAGATATTCGTTTTCATCTAAGTGCTAGATTAAAATTGTTTTGAAGTATAACCCCAATGAGATGCACAACTCCCGTCTACGCTTCAGGCATACTTAGTTTAAATTAGATACTTGATGTGGAAACAAGCTAAACGTGTATAAAACCAGCAACTCATCATTTTGGGTAAGTTCAAATAGGCAACGTTTTAGTGTTAAGGATGTACGGGGCAATGCACGGTTTTGAATAAATTATGCCGAAAGGCTGTGACAAACGTGTTTACAATTAGGGAATAGTTCGGAATGGAACCAAACGGTTCCAAATAATAAACCCAGCATAGTAAAATGATTACCACAACTCTTAGGTAGAGCACAAATGGATAACCGTAGGCTTTAGTATGCTACAAATGTGCACATCCGGAAGTGGAATGATATCATCACTTGACTAATTGTATCAGAACGCGCAGTATGTCTCTCTAGAGTTTATCGAGTACGATCTTGACGATTTTCTCTTCAGTGTTTATTGGAGCATCCAACCTTCACGAACATAGACATTATCGATTTTCATACTAAACTGGGTGAACCGAGCAAATATTCGAATGAGCTCCAGGTTTGAACGGATATGAAATGGGGTAGTAATTGATCGCAGCTCAGAATATCTTGATTGTTAGTGCAGCGGAATCGAAACTGGATAGTTTAGGCTTAAAAAGTATTTCAGTCTGTTTCAAATGATTAAATTATCTAGAAAATCGGTGGTTAGATAAGGACGTTCAGCTGAAATAAAAGTACTCAGGAAGAAAAGTTTCCGGTAGTCCGATTCTTCCATCTTTAAGTGAATGCAAATTTGTGACCTTTATGTTATGAAACTGACAAGCCCAAGGTAGACATGGTTTGTGCTTAAGATGAATCTTATTGTTTCTGAAGTGAGTACTTCATGATCATGGGTGGAGATTGTGTTGTGTTGTCGGGACCGATCAACCTGGTTGTTAGGCCTGATTCATTTTAATCAACACTTTTCTAATAAGCAAGGAATTAGCTGTATGACAGGTTAGTGAGAGCGGTTTTTTCGAAGATGATGTAGGTGCGACGGACTTTGGAGTTCCATTGGCTAAGATACTTGGGTGAGTTATCTTGAGAAAGTCTTGTTGATAACAGTATACGACGGACGATCGTGTAAAGTATAGTAGGTCAGCACATTTAAGTGCTCGGAAAAGAAGCATGTCAGATAGCTGAAGGTTGGCGTTATTAAAAGCACCAGTGGTCAAATTAGACTGTATACAATTTCATCCTGGTTGGAATAAAATGTTTGTCGTTGCCTTGACGTTCCTTTAGGCTTCCTGAAGAGCCAATTTCAATTGCGATCCACTAGGATAAAAAAAGGGGACTAACCAAGCCGGGATTACGAACCAGATATGTCAGCCAAATGAACTTTAAGAAAGTCGTTGTAATTTGGCGTACTGTTAGCAAGCTGCGAACATCGGATACGGTTAATTACAGGAAACATCATCTGTTCAGTGCAGTTACGTGATCGGTTATTTATTAACTGATGCGAATAATTGACTAGGTATCAGATTTGTTGACTGGAAGCAACTTGATACAGCTTGTGCTCTGAACACTATCTGTCATGTTGTTAAGTTCTCGCAGTGGATTTCCTATTCCTTGCTACACGGTAAGCTGGGTTCAGACGTTATGTGCTAGGCATGCATCTACGCATAACTTGCTATTGACTAGCTTTTCACAACCCACGGAGCACTAGTTCAATGTCACAGTGTTTTCTGGGATCGATATAACGAAATTTCTTTGTTCTGGAAATTGTAAAAACTACAGTGCCGTCAATTCTATCACTGAGTTTCGTCTACTCTCCTTTTATAAACGCATAGCAACCCCCAAAATGATAGCTGTTTTCACAACGTCTGCACTTGTGGCTATGACATCGATTGCTGGTTCCTCTTGTCGGGAACACAAAACGCTAAATAGCAGGCAACTGCATGTTAACCAGTTTCATGACACAAGTGGTTCCTAATGTTGATTAATCACGTGCACAGTCGGACAATCTCGGAAATAATTTGTGCGGCTGGAGGTAACAAAAACGCTAAAATCTGCTACATGGAATTCTCCGGCGTCCGAGAAAAAATGAAGCAAGTACATCAAATTGAAAAAATGTGTATCCAACCAGATTGGGTCTATGATTGATTTTTTAAAAAGTTCAAATACAGGATACAATCAGCCCCGAGAAACATACCCTATCCTTTTTCTTTTGACTGGGACGAATTCATCAAAGCTATGGGCCCCTGTTGCGTGTCTAGTAGAAAATTTCATAGCGAGGACATGTTTATTGACTTGCTACTGGTCAGACCATGAATAATTAGTAATACCAGCGTAAACTTATACAATTATCAGGCTAGATCTATCGAAAAGACCAACGTAAAAACAATATTTATATGACTAGATGTCCGGTGGATTCGGTTGAAATTCTCTGAAGGCTATCGAATTCTATAATTCAACCAAGGGACTCGGTTGAACGGCTGCAGCTACTTTCGAAAGTAATGGAATAGGTTTTGGATTCTGTGTTGATTAGTTCATCCAAAATGCAACTTGCTCAGTTTAGAATTCGGATCACCTTGCATCTGAACTAGGGTTTGACCAGTTGCGCATTTTATTTAAGCACACAAACACTAGTGAAATCACACTGATCAAGATATTTGCGACACCACAGTCCATATCACTGCCACTGTCTCCTCCCAGATACAAGATATTTCGGATTGACTACCATCATACTCTGTATGTGTACGACATCCTAACAGCACGTGGTCAAAATATTTTGCTCTGTGTTTGATTTTGCTTCGACACGCTATGTGATTGAGCGCTGCCCATGCTCATCAACTAGATAAGGCATTCTAACCACGAAAACATAGTCTATGTAAGAGTGAAACCTTGCGAATCACTCGGTCTCGATCTATGTAGGAAGTACGGCAGGGTTGCTCATTACATTGTTTCTACTTGCTACTGTATCAAACGCTTAGTACCATGGAGGTCCGCACCATAAGCCTGACAGATGGATTTACATATCAGATTTGTTGATATTACCTGGAATGGCTCATTCTTATGTCACGGTTGATTCAGGATTTTTCACCTTGGGACCGAGATTTATAGTGCCTCACCGGGGCTCTTGTATTATTTCCAACGTCAAGCAAAGAGTTGCTTTTACCGGGTAATCACGGCGGGTGATAACCAGGCGGGCTCCTAACCAGATTAAAGAACTTAATATGTGCATACCAATTTTGTTATAACAAGCGACTCACCTTGAACCCAGCTGAATCTCTCGTTTAGAATATTTTTCAGCTGCTGGGTTCCAGGTAAATCTACCGTTAACAGCAAATGTGTGCAATTTTGGCTCAAGTAGGACATAAGGTTCTCGGGAACTGCGCCCGCCTGATTGGCACCAAGAAGGGATAGACGAAGGGGTTTCGGTAACCTTATGAGCAGTGCATTACGTGCATGTTCTGCAGGCTTTTGCAAAGTAAGCTGGTCTTGACAAGGAACTCAAGTAAAATTCAACTGCATTTCCCATTCACGATGCCTTCGGCTGCGCATTGGCAATGGTAATTCAGTCAAGTTGTTTCTCCTAATAGGATACTAGTCGTAAAACCGAAGAAAACTCTCGATCAACCACAGCCGCTTTCGCTTTACTCGGTGCTCAAGTGTGGCCAGCCATCCTTATTTCGCACTTGAATACCATAACGTTTTTATTGTATTATACATACAAATTTGTGCGTTCACTTTAGAAAATATCATAAATAACTTATTTGGATTTCAATTAAGTCGCACAATAGCACCAAGTTGATGGAAAGTAAGCGTTCCCTACCATTTGAATTCCAGTGCGCCGAAATACAAACTACTTTACAATGCTTTCCGTCCATGCTGCAGCCGTATTTTGTGGTCGCTCTATAAAGGGTTAAGTGTACTTGCATTAGACAGTGGACGCACTAGTCTCATAATAGGCTGTAAGGTACAAACTGGCTCAAAACTTTGAAATCCCCATCACGTTTGAAACCCAGTTTGCGGGAGTGCGCCAATTTGCCAAAATACCATGTTGGTATTCGCATAAGAACGGTTTACTTCCTTGGTTAGTTGTCTTTTCAAGTAATGTGATTTGTGCTATTCAAGTATTTTCCAGTTACTTCGTGTATTGGGACCGAACGAGATGAGATTCGAATCAAGAAATGCATCCATGTATCACACCCTTCCCAAAGTCTCTCATCTCATGGATTCGTGAGTTTCTGATGTTCCCCCAAAAAAGATGAAATACAATTTTATGCGTCTCATCTATCACACACACAGCGGTTTTCATGGAAATAAGGAATGAATCTCCAATCCTTTAAAAGCCGTCTGCAACAAACATAATTTTTGTCAAATTTGCGTACCTAACGGAATTAAAAACTAACATTGGGCCTCCTCCACAACATCCATCTTGAATTAAACATTCCTGGTAATGATGCTCTGTGAATATTCATCTATCTTCAGGATTCTGTCACTCAGAGGTTATGCATACATTTCCAGGCAGTCGATATCCCGGCACGTCAATTAACCTGTTCAGGGCTAAAATTGCTTCTATTGGAGCCAAAAATGTAGTTACTCTTTTCAACATGTTCATTTAGCGCATTACCCCAACCCAGTGTTTGGAAGGCCAGTGGCGTGACCAGGACAGCTCCGCACTAAAACCAGTAAAAAACGCGAAGCATTTTTGCACATCTCCGGCAATAGCTCAGTTTATTACGAGACCGGCACCAAAAACGCCGTGATGAGCGGCATCAGTGGCAACCTTGACTTAACAGTATTTTTCCTCAACGTGCTGCATTTGTCAATTAATTTAATATTTTTTGTGAGTGGACTGATTTCATATTACTCAAAAAACGCGCACGCAAATAGAGGTGAATGTGCGATAAAAAAGGATATATGATTATATGCACATATATAAAAATGTAAGTACATTGACGTTGCCTTCGTCAAGTAATTACTCCTCTACAAGCAGTCCGTTTTTAGTGATATAAATAACTCGTATTTTGATGATTTTGAACGGTGGTCTTAGCTCCATTTTTTCCATGTCTCATCTACATTCATAAACGTAATTGCCAGCTGATATTTATTGGGAATGATTTTTCATCAATTTCGTTTAGACAGCCTAAAATACCAGACTTGGGTTGGAATTCAGTTGGGTTTGGATACAACTCACAAGCATTCCTCGATTCACTTTAATTTACGTATTTGTTGGATAGAAAACAGAAAATTCCATGAAAAAACCTTCCATTATCGAATCCTGAATAACACAGGTTTGACATGCTTTGAAAAAAAACGGTAAACTTATCGCGGGTGAACTGGAGGAATTTCAGGTCGTTTGTTCTCTGAACCTCTACGCTTTTGTGAAAAATTGTCAGAATTCACTATACTTTGCCGACGCAGTACCGAAGGCGTGTATTGGCTGTTCGTCTTGCATGAAATAGTAGCTATGTAATAATTATTGTATGGAGCGAGGACGTTAGAATAACTCATGAAAAGTGGAAACTTAAAGCTCGTAATCTTATCTGTGGGACCAATATCGCCAGAGCACCATAGTTTGTTTTCCATTTGCAGGTTAGTGCTGTGATTGGCGAAGTTTTGTAGCACAACCGTCGCATGCCAAATGCTTGATTTGGGTAAAAGCTGCACAGCAGATTTGCAGCCTACTGGTCGGAACAAGAGAAAATACCACTCTGCTAAACATGGTGCGCTGGACGCCTTAGTTTGAGCAACTGACATGCGCAATGTAGGTGAGTGGTATTGAATTTTACCAGCCAAGCAAGATACAGGCACCACTTACCTCCAATCAACATTGTGATGATTGAAAATATTTTCTCATTGACTGTGTTCGGAGACACGTTTCCAAATCCAACGGAAGTGAGGCTGGTCGTTGTGAAATACAAACTGGACACGTAAAAGGCCTGTTGTGCTTGCGGGTCACTAACATTCATGCTGGCCATGTGCATCCGTTTGCTGAGCTCCATCAACCAGCCTGGCATGTAAAATGTTGAGTAACCATTAAAATACCAAAAATCTCGCCAGTTTCGTCACACACGACCAAGCACTCATAAAACGTCCTAAGCACACGTCCTAAATGCGGTTGAGAAAATCGGTTAGTAGTTGATATTTTATTAGAAGGAAAGTTTCCAACCTAGGTATATTCCGGGTATCTTGAGTCTCATATCGGTGTGGCGTGTCTACATTTCACCGTGCAGGAAAACGTGATTATTGTGCTCATGTGGAGGGCAGTAGAACAATCGTAAGTACTCGCGATTATATTTCACTTCACTTTCAAATTACAGGCTTTCAGTGGATCGGGAGTTGTCACGTGTGGTTTGTATTCACAAGGAACAGAGATCTACACCTTTCAATGTTTCTAGATCATAGGATGTCTCGAAGTATTCTTTAGAATACCAGACAGTCGTCTTAAGCTACATCTAATCTGCGAAGCACCTACGCCGTTCATGAGATTATTTCGAGACACCAGTGCGTTTTTGCGTGGCGCCAAACAATTTCTGTGGGCCTACTGTGATATTTTACTAACACGTATTGTGATTATATTCTAGATAATTTGTTGGTAGAGAGATGAGTGAAAAAGCATACTCACTGTGCTCCCTATGAGTCGAAGACTCCTGTTCCAACCGACCAATCCAGTACCATCCGCAAGCAAACCAGTGTGCTATCAGGAAGAACATGCACATAAGCAATCCAAGAATAATTGTGCTGTACTGTGAATAACGTTCAATCTTCTGAAAAAGTCGTGCCAGTCGAAGCAACCTGGCCATTTTGAGCAATTGGATCCACTGACCCTGTAGAGGAGAAAAAGCGGCCAAAGATGCAGCTTATCTTATGAAGGCTTTGGATGACATGAACAGTCAAAGTACCACCTCATGAATAAAGTGCTAACATTTCTGGCACAAATTCCATCCTATTGAAAGTATGAAAAACCTCGTGAAGTATTTTCGTTTAAGTAGAGAGTATTCTTTGCACCTAACTGAATTAATTAGTGGAAACTATGCTGCAGTTCTTGCTTGGTATAATCGCTCCATTTCAATACGATCGCAAATATGACCTTCAGTGATCAGATTCGGTTTATTCTCGCGTCCTAAACAAGGGTCACATAGGTACAAAATGTAAGTATATGTGCCAAGTACTTGAAATTAGTGAAAAGCTTCGTAATATAAGTAAACGAAACGAATCATGATGCTACGTTTCCTGTGGCTTTGCAAGACCAGAAGAAACACATGAATTGCTCGCACAACACCCCGAGTGAGCCAAAAGTCAAATTAGCGACAAAGATTTGTGGGCTTTAGGTAATATAATGAATACGAATACGCGGCTCTTCCTACAGTTCATGTAGAATCGGTACGCAATAGCACTGACTAACGAAGCAGTTCACGTTGGTTTTGGCCCATATGCCCTTAAAGTATTAGGGATCACTGTGTTAGATTTAGTTGTCGTCAACACTCATACATAATTTTGGTCATTCTAAAGCCGCAAGGATGTTGTGATCTTATTAACCTCGCTACGGTTGCACGTAAAACTTTAACTGCAACCCAGCAGTGCTAAAGCGATCGGATAGTTGATTACCTCTGTGAGGACAAGCAATACGAACATCTCGATCTTCTGCATTGAAATGTTTTATATAAAATGGTCTTTTTTCACTTTGACTCCTACAAGATTTCGATTTCAGAAATGATACAGCGTGATTTCACGCATCAGATGTGTAGAAAGACCAATTTGTAAATACGTGCGCAAGACTGCTTTTGGGCCAATAAAATGAAGTCAGCTTATAAGCCGAGGCCCCAAACAAAAGGATCAAGCATTTTGGTTTTTCTTGCTTTTGTTTGGCACTGGTCCAGCGGGTTCTGGTTCACAAGTCACATCAAGTCAGCCGCACGTAGTATTCACTGTTTCATAGACCATCACTTCAGATGGGTCTGTGAAACGTCCTGCATACGATTTTTGGTGTCGGTTGCTAGGGCCTTCAGTCACCGGGGTTGTGGATTAAGCAATAGAACGGCGAGTTGTATCATCTATGGTGAGCGACATGCTGGGTGATTTTAGACGAGCAAAGGCTGGACGCACACAGGACAACGGAGCAGGCAACGCAGTATTTATATTAGTGGTTTCGGGGCGGATGGAATAATCTCATGACTGGCTCCTTTTACCCAATCTAGCCACAATGATTCAAAGTCACACAATTGGATGGACGTCAAATACACGTAACCTCAAGCAACGGACAAAAGCAACAAAAAATTTTCCATGCTATTACAAGGTAAAACCATTCGTTCAACAAATGCAAATACCGTTGCATGAATTAAAGGAATTTGGTGGATGAACGGGTTCGACTTGAGTCTAACTCCTTTTTTAAGTATTACGACATGATTGATTTCGTGGACCATAATGCTTAGAGACTACTCGGAAATTCCAGGTCCGTCTACACAACAGCTCTAGAAAAATGAAGATAATTTAGCTGCCGTATCTTCATACATTATATGATAATAGTCGTGTGTTTTTTCGTCAGTTTCACCTTTAGGATTATTTGTACAACACGATTTATTAGCAATATACTGGCGAAGCATATCAGTGGGTACAGAAATGAGTATCAGCAAAGTGGCAAACAAAACTTTTCTGCGCTGAGCGCGATATTATATCCGTTTAAATTCTGCATAGTGGAAAGCTACTTGGAAATGAACGTTCCAGAGGTTAACGTTTTACGACTGACCACAAATTTTGTGACCGAAGTTCTCGTAGTTGCTCAAGGTGGAAACTACATAGGCCAGCACTTCGTTTGATCTTTCTATGCCTTCAGAGTATGGGATTACGGTGTAGTTCGAGAGCAATGTTGAAATGGTTGTTTGGGATGTGGGTTTTCTGTCGGTTGTCCATTTGTTATAAGGATATTTGTTTGATCTCAAATGCAAACCAATAGCATAAGCCAAGGTGAATTCCGATTTTCTGACTGGAACCTTATATTTGAAGGAGTTATTAGGTCGAGGCTCTGCAAAATGATATGTTTAAAATTACTGAATCTCTGGGACGCTTGTAAAAAAACTCAATTTCGTCAGTTTTTACTGCTGAATAAGTTGACTGGATGATAGCTGCGCCTAACTAATGAAAATTGAAGACGGGAGACGCCAGAAGGAAGAGGTTGAATACTCCTTACCTCAATATACATTGATGATATTACTAAGCAGCCAACTGCGTTTGACAGCCGGGTTGTTCAAATTGTTTCTGGTGATATGGTGAGTTTGGTGCATTTGGGACGCTCGTTTACTTTTATCAACATTATTGAAATTCTCTGGTCAGTTCTTCTATATAATCCCGTCAGTGAATGCACAACCAACTGATCCGCTGTAAAGTCAGTAAGTGATTTTGCACAATTTAGATCAGAAACCGGTAGATTGCCCCTACTAAAACTCTCAGGAAAGCTTTCGAAGCTGGGGAAAGCCAAAGCAGTGCCTTTTAGCAAATTAAGCTCGGCAGGGAAAAAGATGTGACATAACTAAAATTAGAATACACTTATGTTGAAAGGAGTGACTACAATTCACTTGCAATCACATCCAGGACGGAATCGTGTGCAGCTGAAAATATAATTCAATTTCCAGCTGATAAGAAATGGATGTATTTATTTTGTATAAAGTTTGGATGAACCAGGCAACAAAATCAGCCGGTATTCCTAACATTAACCTATAATCTATAGTAACCAGAATATCGGGTGCCAACACTCGTGCATAAGATTATACCAAACCACTGTGATAGCTTACTGGGTCGCGCGTTACAAAACGAAGAGAAATGCCCATATCCCATTATAAAAACAGCCACCTTAGGACATTTATAACTCCTGGCTCCTTCCGGTAGACTAGGCATATTCTTTTTCATAAATGTGGTCATACCATTGTAAATGAACAAAGAACCATGCTCCTGTCGTTTAGGTGCACCAACGTACAGTCGAATGGTATGGGAACTCGTTGGCAAGTATAATGAGAAGACGCAAATGGTGAGTCTTATTGTTTAATTTATTTTATCAGCCGCCAGCGGAAAACATTTCTAGATGAATTTAAAGCAACAATGTGGAGACCACATACACAGTTATGTGACGATAGGTTGGGACAAAAATAGTGTCGTGGTGAACTGACAGACTGCGTTGACAGTTGTCGTTCTCAGGATACCCGCATTATTTGCACATTGCGCAGTGTGGTATACTTGGTTTTTAGAGGCTTGTGAATCTATTCGGTGTTGTTTTCTCGGGTCAATAGAGACTCTAGTAATAAATAATCTATAGTAAGTCATTTTCTTGAGCACCGCTAGACAGTCATCAAGGTCAGTTCGGTCAGGGGTTATGTTGTGTAAGGTCATCGTAAGGTAGTGGATCTTCGGATGAACACTAACCGCTCCTCAAGCATAACCGTTTTTTCTTGGAACAGTGAGATAGCTCGATTCTGCTGGGCATTGTTCTTGTGACCGAGCCTCATTTGAGATGGAACACACCATGGAACCCTGGTTATAAGATGGGACTAATAACAGGATTATGTTCGCCACAAACATTCGTTAACACCGGACATTATGGGTGGTTGCATAGTTAATTCGAGTCACTGGAAAGACTATGAATTATTTTTTCGTGGTCTCTTGATGGACCGCTTAGTGTACCGAACTACCGTGTTCCGCTTATTTCTGGTGTTGTGGCCGGATTTCTATTGGAGCCCTGCATCTAACAATGTCAGCTTTCTTCACAGGAACCATCATTGACGGAAGCACGTGTAGTGATGGGAAAGCCTTGAAATATGCTGAAAACTCAGATACCGTTTTATGGGATTGACCGCTTAAGTACGTTTGCTCCATTCTCAGAAGATAAAGGGACGCAACTGCACGCTGTTAAGACCGCGATATCGCTTCAGAATCACAACAGTGACCAACATTTGTAGTGGCCAGTGAACATGCTGATGGGGTACCTTTCAGTAATCCGGTCATCAGTTTTACGAAAGGCAAATGTCATTCAGGTTGGCGTACACGTTCTGCAAAACATGGAACCAGATTAAGCGATGGAATGTTCCTAGATTTATTCTCACCTCTTTCATAAGTTGGAAAACTTAAAAAGAATTACTGAATCCCAGCCGTTTACTAGTTGAAGTTGCCCTGGGGTATAAGAATTGATTTATTTGTATAAGTGTGAAGCCGAAGAGGGAAGATACTTCACACTTCAGAACGTTCCGTGAATAGGCTAGAATTATGATGCAAGTAAGAGACCATTCGTCGAAATTACGGAGGGTGGTTTGACCGAATTAGTTATCACGAAGTTTTTCTTGACATTGGCAACTGTATCACTAATCATTTCTGACGTCACTGGACTTGTCCAGGGAGCTGATATAACACACGGTTTATTTCCCACTGCTGTTGCACGTTTAGACAAACTAGTGTCTACGAGACATGACTAATTGTAAAATGCAGTGCGAAATGTAAAATAGAAGTAATGGGTGCTCAAGGGTAACAAAGAACTGATGAAAGTCAAATCACCTGCAAAGCCCGTCTGAGTGTGCGGATCTGAAGAATAAATCTAACGTCATCATAAAGCAGAAGGGATTACCCATAGGTGATAGTATACGGACGCTCTTTTATCCATACTATTTATCACTGTGTACGACATATGACACCACATTAGATGCGCTTGCTTGAAAGGAGCTAATACTGTAATGGCTGCTGCAACTAATTATCGTGTGTGTGAAACAAACTCAAGAAATTCATCAAGGGTGCGATTATGCAACCTTTCGGAACAATGCGATTATTTCTTACGAGCTTGTTATCACTTTCTAACTCTAGTCGTGTCCCACCAGGTTTGAAGACTAAATAGTACAACCTACAAGCATCCCCTCTCAATTTGCTCACAAAATGCCTCAATCTTGTTGCACCGGAACTTTCATTTAATTATAGACCCTGACTATCGTCACCGGAAGTGTTTCACAACTATTACAGCTTTTTGGCGCTGAACTAAAATTACAAGATTCGATTGCTCAATCAGATGTTTCTAACCTCTTATTAATTACACTTTTTAAGGAGATGAGGACTGTGATGAAAAGTTGGCACGAAAACAAGTTGAAAAACCAATGCCCAGTGGCAAAGGATGCCTTTGATTGCACAAAGCACAAAGCGAGAAAACATGCGAATGCTGTAAGCGGATTATGGGTAGGATCCGTAGTGATCTAGAAAATCAGGCTTACTTTTACCAAGCGTAATGCTTGTTTACATGTGTATTCAGACTGTTTGGAAATTATTCTTCCAGAAATTGACAAGCCATTGACCATCTGCGACTTAACAGTTCTGGTCATCTAATCAAATACGTCTGGTCATTTTCCGACGGCAAAGTTTCTTCTGCTTAGGAAGGGTTCTTGAATAAGTGTTTTTAGGGAGCTAACCACTAATGTCCACGCAATGGATTACTTCGTTTTATACCAAGGTTGATCATAATTTTTTTCCCATTTGTCCCTCACCATGGTCTAGTGACAGTGAAGAACTGTCTGTACTAACTTACAATTGCGCTACGTGACAACAACTTTCGTTGTCAATATTCGCATAATATAACCATAATTTTAGTTCAAGTAAACATATTTTCTTACCATCATCAGTTTGCTCACTGGTTAATTTAAATACCTTTTGGGGTTTTAAATATTCGTTTCACGCACCTCCGAACTGCTACACAATGGAAGGAGAGCATTGTGCATTTCTGTCTTCAACATATGAACGGTTTTCAAAGCCACTTACCTCGATTTTTAGAAACCTGTTAATGTGAGTTGCTATATTTGTAGTTCATAGCAGAAGAAAAGAAACACACCAATTTTATATTTTATTTCTAAAGCACACCATTAGTCCATTACGTTTAGTCAATTCCAGTGAGGTACAACAAGGCTTTTCAGGATAAGACTACGTGCATAAAATTAATGCACATCCGGCGACATCAGTTTAACATTGGGGATATGAAACTGGAAAATCCTCGACATAGTGTACACTTTAAAGTATTTTGGCATATCGGTTTTATCCTATTGGGTGTCAGTTTTTGAAACAAATTGATAATAGGCGCAAACAGGTTGCCTGTGTACTTGCAAGTGCTCCTTGGGAAAATTTCATTAGAACTAGTTTTCCTGAACTAAACGATTATTTGCAACTATTATTCAAATGCTCTACTGTTCAAAGCAGACAGTTTTGAGCAGAATATATAATCGCGGCTCAGAAAATAGGGATTCTATAAGAATGTACTGCGGTATAAATCGATTGATAGAGTTTGAGGAGTCAGGCTTCAAAGTGCGCTTCAATTGGAGAAGTCAAGCTCAAAGTTAGGAATTTTCAGCTGCGTCTCTTTTTTCCTACAAAAGGTCTCCTGATTTCGGTACTACAGTGAGTAAACTAACGCAACTAAACGAATTTAGCACATGCTAAATAAATGGAGCACTCAGATTACAACTATTTTAGACACACTTAATTTAAGAATTGTTAGGAAAAATTTGTGACTGCTCAATTGGAAATTTTATGGAGTCTTTATCCTTGACGATTTTAAATTGCTACGGTGAACCGATGAAGTATGTAAAACTAAGCATGTAGCTCAAAAGAAACCAGTGTCGAAAAAAGGCTCGAAGTAGAGGCATTACCCTTCCAAACGTGGAGAGCCAGTTCCTTAACCATCTCTGCTTGGTGAGATAAGTCCACTTGAATTCTGGAACAAATAAATTCTTATTCCTCAAATTGACTATTTGCCGCACAGTCGGAGACACTCCAGGGAACTGGCCTATACTATTGATCCAGCTCATTAGTTCATTATATTTACAGCAGAACCACGAACCTGCTACAGCTGGTGTTATTCCATAACATAATGCATTGTCACTATTCAAGTTTAGCTTTGGGGAAAAACCACTATTTCTAGATGATTACGATGACTGGGGCAAGTGACTTTAAGTTCCTTAGCTGCGTTAGCGAGTGTGTATGACGGATTCGCGATATTATTGAATATCTGGCACATTCATTTAGAATTAATGGGAAATTCCAGCCAGCGCTTAATAAAGCAGTGAGTAAACAGGGTTTAAGTAAAAAATAGTCACCATCACAGCAAAAGGATAAAGTGGTATCTTGTAGATCACTTTATTCTTCAGGAAATACGTTGTCCAAAGGACGCTTTCCCCTGGGTACAATGCATTGTCAATAATAATATGGCTCGTGAAAACCTGCAGGTTTCTGAACCGTTTTAGCTATTTATCCTGTTCTTCTTTCACCGTTTACGAACTCTTTGTTTTCTTATGTCTACGGAGGCAGGATTATCACTATAGCGTCCTGGTTGCATATCATTCACCCTACTAAATATCGACCTGAACTGTAGGACTTGCTTTCATTAGAGCTGCTCTGGTTATTCCGCAGTTTCGGACGCAGTCGTTTCAAGCGTATTTGTTACGAGCAAATTTATGTTCACTTGCATTCAAATCCACTTTCATGATTCTACGCCTTTACAAAAATAACAACGTGGGGCAAATTAAAAGAGCTGCATTTAAATGGTGCTTACGGAACCATCCTCCTGAGAAATACTTTTCGGCTTCGTACATCGTAGATCACATTTGTATGCCCACAAAGAGTTCAGTTAAATGGACGGAGAGGAACTGCTTGTTTCGAAGTCAACTGATGTGAGCGGAAACACCTAAATGTACAATGTGATCAATAAACGAACCATATTTTTCCAAAACCAGGACCCTACCCAGAGAGATGTTTACATCAAAAGACAGACATTAACGTTGTTTTGCACAATTTCCACGATTTAACTCACCACACCATTTCGAAATCCATCACTCTCTCGAACGTCCACGGTGTCGATGAAATCAAATGGAATTGCTGCAATCAGATCGAGGAAGAACCAGCCGCGAAGGTAATGGATTGCGATCTCTCTAATTTGATAAACTACCTGTCCACTCTTACTCACATATGTTGTAGCGAAATTGAGCAGGATATCTGAAAATTGCGGTAAGAATATCCAAACAAATCAGGCGTCCTCTTAGATGTGCTCGTCAATGTTATAACTAAAGTGATAATGGAAAATTTTAGCACGAATAATCTGATGACGTGGGACCATGATGTGTTGGCTGAAAGGCAGTTCTTGCCGAATAGCCATCAAAAGAAAAAGGTACACAGGACACAAATGTCAGTCCGAAAAACTACTTTTGACTTCCCCAACAAACCTAAGACTGAATTAAACTACCTCTAGTCAGCCCCTCATTTCGACAGAGTAATCTCCGCAAATTTTTGAACGGTATTGGAGATTTCAGTAACGAGTCGTTCGACCGAAAATGCCCGTTAAACTCAAGCCATAAGTGAACACCGAGCTTGATGTCGACTAATGCGGTATCAACTTGGATTTTTCTGTACAAACTTCACTTTGGTCTCCTTGGAACGGTAAATTAAATGGATCCATCTACGTGTTGCCGAACGGCCTCCGGTTCTAATGCACTAGCTCGTTTTCAAAAGCACTATCAGCCGCAAAGTGCGTGCACGCATTGGTACATAGAAATATTTCTTTCGATGTCCAAATGGCTCACTTCAGTATTATATGTGAACAAAAAAATTATCCAACCGCTAATAAATATCCAGCTTAAGATGATGCATACAGTTCCTGGTCTTTGTTTTTTAAAGTGAATAAGCCATTGTCGGTACCAATGAAATGTACGCTGGAACTTAACCATAAAACTTTCTCCACAGATATTCATTGAAGGTTTGTTGGTGTAGTTCGATCAACTGCTAGCTGGAAACCATAAGAACCCAGTTTGTCTTTATTGCATATAGTTTAAAAAAACATTTAAACAAAAGGAGTTCCAAGAACAACACTTTTCATTGTATGTGGTCATCAGTTTGGGGAGCCTCGCGCAAACTATCTGCCTTAGAAGGACCTGAAGCGGCGTGGTTCAAATCTTGCCGGAATAGTGCAAAAAAAACAACGCACGCTGCATAAAAACGGCTTATACGGCAACTCAGGTAAAATGTGTAAACTTTTGTGTGTAAATTTAATACTGCTTCCGTTTTCAGAGATTCCGGCAACGCCCAGTTGGAAACAAAACGAGACACCATTAAAAAAAGAAATGTCGAATAGTACCCCACGTAGCTTCTGTAATTAAATGTTGCGTACAACACTGAGCAACTCAAAAAGAGAAGCGAGTATCACGATTGACTTGATGAAGTGATTCCCAATTACTGGAATCATTATATGTGAAACCTTTACGCACACACAGGGCTGAACCTAGGCGACTGGATTAATCAGCACTTGAAGACACAGCTAAATGAGAAGGGATCACACAGTCTCAGAAGACTCTAAGAACTCTATTGGAGGAATCATTCTGGAGACCAATAAATTTATCCACTGGGCATGCCGACAAAAGGAGTCAGCAGGAGTTTTTGGAATTCGTCATTACGGAGACGATAGTCGTATATTCAATCAACGAATGAAATCTTTTCGGTCCACTGTGACCAACTCTACCAAAACCCTTGACGTAGCTGATGCGTCTAATTGCTGTAACCTGGAACCACGGTGACTTCAGCTATACCTTATACCAAGTATGTGGGAGTTTCCGGCGTGTACCTCGACGGTAGACTGACAGCTAATGGCGCTGCCCATTGTTATAACTTGATGCTTAGGCCGACTGGTGTTTTGTGACAGGTGCCGGGATGTTCGCACTTCTCTCTCTCTCAAGCATCTGCATATGCTTGCGAGTTGCACCACAGTCGGCTCCGCACAAACCACCGCTGCCTTCCTACAATGCGCAGGCGTCCAGTGATTTGTTTACTGTCGACGCACAATTCCTGTTGGATGCTAATGAAAGACAAGCGTCAAGCTACACGACACTCATAGTGGAAGGCCTGAACTAGGACCAACGATAAACCAAATCCATCGCTTTGTCCACAAACGGCTGTTGCTTAGTTCTCTTTACTGTAGTGAAGACACGGTAGTCTGGAGAACAGAAGCGTTTTTGGATGTTCGTATATCTTGGGTAAAAATTGAAACCCACTATGGGTTTCAGGCTTGGAGAGACTAAAATGTGGCCTCGTCAGGAATGACGTGGACGCCAACAGGGGTAATCCCTCTAAGCAGTGATTTGTCAAACGGCAGATAACTGTACCGTGACTACTGTGAATTGGCAACTACTATTTTCAAAATATTATATTAATTGTGTTACCCCAGTGTGTGGGTGCTCAAGTTGGATTCTACATTTAGTGATCCCAGATATATCTTCTAGATTACGGGAAACCACTTGTAAAATGCGGCCATTTTCGGCTGATCCCTTGGTATCTCAGTTCACGTATAGGATACAGTCGACTGGCGCCAGGTTTGGTCATTCCCCTCACCCAGTGCCTCTGGAGTGAGTAAACAGAGCCTGCATAGAAAGAGTCATACTTTAGACCTTCGACCGCCTTGGGAACATACATGTCTCCAATGTGTTGAGCTAAACAGTCACACGATAGAGGAATATAAAATACCATAAACAACTTGTACATCCTGCCTTTCGTTACGAGGAGACTTCACGCCGGCTCTCGTTTGTCGGTATTGTGTCGCACAGAGCATTAGTTCTGACATAATTCTAATGAGCTGGACAAAACTGTTCTAGCTTATAGGACGCCTGTCCCTTTTCCGGATCACCTAGAATACAAAACGGGTCTGTTCATTATCCGCGGCGGAGCTTCTGAAGGCCTGCTGCTAGTAAGTAAACCACACGTGGTGTTGCACCTAAGCGGGCTCAGGCAGTTCAAACCCAAGTAAATATGCTCAACAGACATACATACTTAGTTTTCTATGGAGGAAAATGTCGGTAGCTCAGGTAGCGTAAATGGTCGTCGGCTTGTTCGCTGAGCTGGGCAATTTGAATACAAACGTTTCATCACCAATCGAGGTGACATGATCAGTGCGTTATTGGGGAGCGTAGTTGTGCACAGTGGTGGGTTAGTAATTCTGTTAAATAAAAGCGAGTTCATCCATCGATCCCTTCGACTTTCAATGTAACACTTCTATACTATCAAACAAATAATAGTGAAAGTGCTGTCTGCAAATGCCTGCTGCTGTCGTTTTGGTAAAAATGGGACGCAGTGTTTAGAATCAGCAGCACACCTACCCTCTGCACTAGAAATGCCTGTCGTACGGTGATCTGGTTCTATTTGCTCCTCTACTATCTGTCAGCCTTCCTGACTTGGTTAAGAAACGAAGTTCATGCCAATGCAGCTCACACGACTATTACAGCCCTTCTTCGGAAACAACATACAACATCTATATATTTCAATTTGGGGACACTTTTGCAGCTTGTCGTATGTATTGAACATAAAAATGTGAGTTACATGTATCTTATTTCTAAAAATTTTTTAGGAGGCCTAAACTTTCTTAACGTAAAAATAATCAAGGGTGTGTATTTTGTGGAAATCATGTTGGCGATACCCTCTCCATCTGAATTATAATCTAAATTGTTCCCGTAATATTGCTACGAAATAAGTAATCACACGAAGTGAAAAAATCAAAGAGACGTGGCTACTCGGTACCTAAATTAAAATGCAAATGAGTCAATTGTTTGTATAACTCACCAATAATAAAGAGTAACTCTACAATTATATCACAGATGAGCAAGTTCTTTGCACGAGACCCGAGACGAAACGCCGCGTTGTAGGGGACCATGATGGCGATATAAAAAGTACAAATCAAGATCATCCAATCCCAAATGATTTTGAAGATGCTGTAATGCAGTAGAATGAATCGTGATGCTTGAACGTCCTGCACTTTGTATTCGGGTATTGTCCGGAACTGCGTGGGGAGTAGAAAGACGATGTTTTTCAAAGTTAGCGGCTGTAGAATTCGGCTACCAGTGAATGACAACTACGTTTGTGTACCCAGAAATCAAAAAATCACTTTGGCATGAACCACATTGTTGGTCAACACTTTGTGAAGAAAATCAGAAAACTGTAAATTTACGGTTACCACACTGGGTGCGGACAGGAAATGATACGTCAGCGGGAAGCCACTTCAAGTTGAGAAGTAGGTGGCGGCTCAGTTATTGCGTGCTTGTTTTTTTTTTGATCGGTTTAGGCGGCTCAGTTATTGCGCGCTTGTTCTGTTTTTTTTGACATCGGTTTACCAGTGTCATTGTGTTTCTGTGAGGGTGCGTACGGGATGCAGCCATGGCAACATCAAGTGTGATTGGTTTCTTCCCACACTGAACCTACGGTTGTGAAATAATTTTTTCGTGTAGCTAAGTTAATTACGAGTATAATGCAAATGTAATTTTTCAAATTCTCATGAAGACTGTTATTCAAATCTCCTCGGTTACTCTTATTTCAACTCGGACTACATAGGAACCGTAACTTCTGCTTTATTTCAAGAGCACCAATGTGTGCTAGCCATGTAAGCTATGGGTTAACTGCTCGTTTTTTTAATATCTGCATAATCCTACCTTGTGATAGAACTTAGTTGTGTAAAACAAACTTTTGGAACAACACACAATTTTCCTCGAGAATTATGAGGCTGGTTAAAACCTCGAGGATATTTTAGAATGTTTCAGTGGTACTTTCGTATTGACGATCAGCGAGGCGGACCTCACGATTTTCGAGAAAGAATCGAGCCTGCGAGATCTGGAATTGTTTTTGAGGAGAACATTGACGCATGCGCTTGGGTTTACATCATCCCTAACCATATTCTTATCGACCACCCTGTAATCTTTCATTTGATTTAGGATGGTTAATTCAAGTTTCCCTCACTCCTATCCTTCATCTGTGGGTCGAATGTTCCTCCTTTGTGACCCTAATTTGCCGTCTTATTACCTCATGCTTTGAGGACTGATCCCAGAAGGATGGTGCGCCCCAAGCCCTTCCGTGTTTAGCTTGCGTAACCTTGAAAATGGGGTGATACTACATCGAAAACTTAAATCTACTTTCAAATAGAACACTGCTCACAAGATTTCAGTCAATTGGAAAACGTCTGGAACCGATTGAGAGGCAAAAAATTGCCGAAAACTCTTTGACAGCCCACGACCGGTTACACCCTCCTTGAAGCTCATCGTGTAGGTGCCGTCCTCGAGTTCCCGTCAACCCTACATTTCACTTGAAGCCAAAATGGATAGATCTCAACAAATACACTCGTTTGCATATCGGGTTTATTCTGTCGAGATGCTTTATCCTTGCTTTGTTAACATTTTAATGAAGTACCTGCAACAGTACTTTGTCTAATAAATAATAAAAACTTCTCCCATAATGTGCAAAGCTTTGGCGCACTGTAAGCTCACATTTTTGGCAGACTAACTAATTGCGATTAAGTCAGTCATGTAAGTACCACAACCCAGCATTCGGAAGCGTTCGCTATTGAAAAGAATGTTGTTAACTCAGGCAGTGTGGATGGTTGTCGATTTGTCAGCTGAGTTGGGCAATCTGACTGCAGACGTTTCAGTACCAAGCGAAGTGACATCATAAGTGCTTTGGTTGCGATATGAAACCAAGAAAAATATTTCTAGGGATAACCTATTTCTGTAACTGTAGGTTGTGAGACTTTAGCCTTGCTTCCTAGCAACCCAGTAAGTTGATGCATACTTTATCCTATTTACTATGTCACCGATTACCTCAGGTTTCATAACGCAGATCCAGCCTCTAATGCCCGCGAAATCGATGTATCTCTTCTGACCCCCTAGCTCTGGCTTGTTCTGGAAAGGTACCCTGGACATGGCAGTTTCTGCTATACGTACGATCAAACACTGTAAGTTTCCCAATGTATGCTTGAGTTCCTACACTCACATTTTGCTACCTTTCTTATCCGTTCGGGATCTTAATTTCCGGGTATCTCAGCTAATTAGCTGAGACTTAAAAAAATAAAGTTCGCAGCTGCTCCGGAATATTCACGTATCCAAGCAAAGATAATAGGGACGGTCGTCGTAAGCATCATTTGATAGGTTATCACTATCTCGGTTAATGCGTGCGGGCCGGTAGGCTTCATCGTGTTAAGGATATTCTGATAAACAACGCTTCCAGAGGCAGTCTTTGTGTAGCCAAGCCGTATATTTATCATGAAAAGAAGCCGCTTAAACCAAGCATTCGATACACTTCTATGCAAGTTACTAACCATTTGTATGTAGTTGCAGACGCACCAGCAACGCAGTTATTGTTCGCGTTCACTAAATCCAGCCGGATCTCAAACCTCCTCAGCCCTTACTGAGATACCGAAAGAAACCGAACCTCTGGAAGCATTTCTGGAATTACGCACACGGCTTTAATTCACACCAGTGTGCGGCGAGTTCGTTTGCCAGCAGCAGGAGTACAGATTGTAGGTAACTAATGTTCAGGACACCCTCATCCTTCGTAGCTAAACAAGATTAACTTATTCCACGTATCGCTTCCAATATAATAATTCATACGAAACATGGTCATTTTCAGAGCAACGAAACCGGAGTTGTCAACAGCCTTTTGTCCGTTTTTGGAGGGCATTTCTCTTGCTTCTCCATGGATGACATATGTAAAGGGGCAAATTTAGAGCGGGTCAAACAGCCGTGAACAGGAATCAGGATATCGGACACTGTATCTAATAATTGCAATTGGGGGTTTTGCGGGATAGGTATGTTTGTTCATAGCCACACTATTGTTTGAACGGCCATATTCCTGTTACGGTGAGTCCATACCAAAGGGGAGCACTGGACTCGAGTCTCGCTCTTATTGGAGCTCATCAGCTTTGCATATACAATGGCTGTGCCGGGATTTGAACCCCGGACATCTGACATGCGACGCGGGCGTATAACCACTACTCCACCAACGCACGTTGGACGGATCTGAATTATCACATCTGAACAGGCGAACGTGTTCACACTTGAGCGATGTGATTGGTGTGCCCGACTCATTGAACGACGACCCAGTAACTGCCCTGGTTGTGACGATCGATTGCACTGCTGATGAGCTCTAATAAGAACAAAGCTCGAGGCCAGTGCTTCCCTTTGGGGTGGACTCACCGGAATAATTACGCCAGAAGAAGAACACGGCCGTTCAAACGAGAGTGGTGTGGCTATGAACAAATATATCTAATAATCATTGTGACTGATATCGAACGTCGACTCAAGTATTGGTCACGCGACAGTTTGTACATTCGAGACGGAAAGACCATCGTTCACTCACAAGTGCAGCAGTATCCACATACTTTCCACTAGTGCAGGACCCATACGAAAAAGCCCTATTGAGTAATATACGGAACGTTGTTGGGACCTGCGAAAAGCGCTCTTTCGGTAGATAACCTGGTCAACAAACCTAGAGAAAGTGCGCGGTTGAAAGTGCTTGAAATTGTTATATATTTGCTAACGCTTGGTGTAGGCGTCCAGTAAGTAACCTAGCGAAAGTCAAGTGTTGTGATCGCCTCAGAAGTGCTGAGGCTTTTCTCATGTTAAATCACAAGGATGTTCGCTTGCGGTCACATGATAAGTTATGATGTGATACCTTCGGCTGGCTGTTTCAGACTGCCACGTTTACGGTCGTTTGCTCTATAGTGTCTCAAATGTGAAAAGTGACTTACTTTCTTTAAGTGGTTTTTCCTTTTTGCATTTTGATCAAACCGTCCAGACAGATGAAACAGTACTGCCCGACTACGCCGCCGTTCGTACTTGTACGTAGTTGATGGTTCGTCTGTACTCAGCCTGTCAGATGCACCCGAATCTTGGCATTCCTCCTCTTCTTCCTGTTCCCCTTCCGAGTCTGAGACATATATAGTCTGTGCGGCCAAATTCGTAGGTTTATCAGATGAGTCAACCTTGTTTATCAAAGCTTGCTCACACTCACTCAACTCCGGCGCACTAAACTTCCGGTGATTCGCAGACTGTGATCGTAAATTTGTTGACGATGATAGTTCTGGTATAGCCGAAAATCGCTTCTTTGGGGACTGGTTGCCAGACCTCAGTTCATTTCTGTAGTCTGATGTGCCCATGCTCTGGAAAGTATTGGGGAAATTTGGTCCGGATCCGAATAGAGAGGTGGGCATTTGGGATTTGTGTGCATGTATGTAATCGAGCAACTTGTTTTTCCGAAACGACGGTGTGCCCAATGCAGCTGCAGTGATTGTGGTTGCCAGGCCGGCAGTAAGGAAACTCGTTGGCTTTTTGAATCCTGAAGGCACTAGTGAATGTTTGAGACCAAGACCGTGGAGTAACCCATGACTTGGTCCTTGTGCATTTACCGATGACGCCACTTTTGAAAAATTGAGCAAAATATATCTGATTACGAACATCTAGTGCACGACGTGTACAGTCAACAAAGCCTGACGAAAGGTAGACGCGTACTTAAAATTAATACGGATGAACTATGGTGAGCATTTCAAAGATGGTGATGGGAACTCAGATGAACCTTGAAGTAGTAAGATACTTTCAGCGTATAGGGAGATACCTAACGTGTTGCAAAAAGTTGTTAATGAATTGTTTGCCAGCTACCTAATGGAGCTCCTCAAACCTGCAAACGAGTATCAACCGTGCGGTTTTTTGTGAATTTTGCAGGCAGTACTGAGCTCTGTCTAACATTTATGGATGAATATGATACATGTTTGGTGTAAAATCACTTGTGCACAAATGTTTTGACGCCTGAGGCTACTGAGACAAGGCAAGCTCTGGAAGAAACTGCTTCCTTAGTGGGGTCTAAAGGCCTCCGAAATGTGGATTTTGCTTCTGTGTTTGGGATACCTTCATGTCTGCATTGTAGCCGTCCTGCGATGGGTACTCCTTTAGAGGACTCACTCAAAACCCAAACCGGAGCAACTCTTGATTGTGTTTACCCAGTCCTGTATCATGAATCTTTAAAATATGTTCCGTGTACGCAAACCGGCGGACAAAGTGAACTGGCTGATGAAGATGAATTTGGGAAACATGGATAGTGTATATATTGGTACTGGGATTTTTAGGTCCCTCAGCAAACATCATTTTCGGTACGCTGTAAATTTGTTAAGCATAAGATGCAAATAACACCAGTGAACCCATCATTACCTCTTAAAAGTAAAACAGGTAGGCAGACCTTCAAGAATAGCCTGAGCGTTGTCACCAGTCTATTGATATCCGAAGCACCTGTTTTCAGAATCGTGTACCTAAGGGGTTGTTTCTCTTGATCCACCATTTTACCACGGCTGTTGTGTGTAGTCTATTGAGGTAGACCCCATTCCGTCCCGTTGACGCGAACCTTATGAAATATGTATACTTTTCTGTTCAAGCAGATTTCTTCCTGGTGCCTGAAAATAGTGACTTACTATGCTGTTTGATCAGCTTGACTCTAGGAGGAAAACGACATCCGATTCTGCCGTCTCTGCTTCAGAGTGAAGATACTTTTAGCCTATTTTACTACATGAGGCTAGTATAGGCTTTCCCATATCACTCTGCACATATGCGAAAGAAATTTTACATGTAGTGTTCATGGATTCATAATTATTTGTCCGCCAGAGGCTGGCCTGATGATTCCCAAAATTAATTTCGCCTTCCTGGGTGCGTACACCTTCCTGGTGTACGTACAAGTGGACTACACATTTTTGACTAAAATTAGCAACATACCAAATATTTGTTCTAGTGGTACTCCTGGTGGAAAACCGGTTTGTTTTGTAACCTCACAATTGTGAAATAGGTACTTACGAGTAGTAGTGTTACTTAATAGTCCTGGCAATATCGAATGCTCTGCCTGGTTTTCATCTTGCTGCCATGCGGAGTTTCCACCAAATCGAATTTGCCGAGGAGACTGAATGAAATCAGTCCCTATCGTAAAAGCTAGTGTAACTCCAGTGAAGACTGATCATGTTTATCTTCAGGGATCCGTTATTACATCACATAACTGGCCGCGGTCGTACCACCTCAATGGGCTGCATACAAATAATGTAAGAGAGTCCGGTATTGAAGAGTCATGTAGTGCGCACTTCCTAAAATATCTCGTCATAGGTAGCTGTTTTAAAGAGGTGCAAATTTTTCAGTGGACGTTCTGAACCATATCAGTCTGCTGCAAATCTACCGGGAATATCTCAGTCCGGCGGAGTGAGTGTCGTATTTCATTTCCACCAGTAGAATAAACGAACGAGCATTTTCGAATTATTTTAGGTTGGGTGAAATTGTGTATAGTCACCAAAAAAACCAAGTTGTGTTTTTTAATCATATTGTCCAATAACCCCCGAAACTTTTTCCCTCTGGGGTCAACTTAACGTTTTTCAGCTGGTCCAATGATCTTTCAAAATGCGGACACACTCTTATCGCCTCATTGTGTTTTGTTGACACACAATACCTTAGGCCTACGACTGATGGCAGTTCGAAGTTTTGTTAATCATCCTAGTTCGAATACCTCTGTTCAAAGTTTACTCTTGAAGTAAGCAATCTGCATCATCGATGGAGTTTGAAAGGGTCGTTTAGGTTTAGGGATTCTACCTTGAACAGGACAGCGCCCCTGTAAGTCGAATGTTGAAATGCATTAGTGCAAGTTCCGGATTTTTATCACATTCGAAGGAGTCTGTCATAAATTTTCGTGTTGTGTTGTGCTACCTAAGCTTTTTAATGTACCTGTTCGTGGTTACGTACCTAAACAAATCCCGTGGACAACTTTCGGCCCTTTAATTTCAGACCGATTTGCGATTTCTTTATAGGTCCTGGGTAGCGACCAATAATGCAACACTGTTCTTAAGAGGAGAAAAGATTACAGTTGGGTACTTCCCTTTCTGTACAAACGTTCTAAACTTATCTCAAACACTGTACTATTGTGCGGTTTTTTCGTAAGTTTCATGAATATTCAAATTCCCACTTCTTTGCTTAGTATGAGACTAAGAGAATTTGTCGCTCGTTGGCCAATGAACTACCAGATGGATAAACTCCAATGGACTTCAAAGTACGAGTATCGGTGACTTTCATGTTTCAAACACCTTGTCTTCTTACCAGACCCAGACGTTCTATTTCAGATTTTCGACAGCTCCTTATCGGCCCGTGCTTGACTTCAAGATAGAAACACTTCAGCCAAAATAACCTATTGCTGTCTGGTTGACTTAGCTCGATTATGGTAGCCTTCAAGCGAGAATGTAAAATGCTCCATATTTGCCATTCCTTATCCACAATAAAAACGAGAATTCCGAACTCATTTAGTAGTTGTAATTACCGTCTAATTTTCTGTAGGACTTTGGGCCTCAAAAAACTATCCTCGTCCGCATGGTATATCAGAACCCTACAGAAATACTTATGAAAAACTCAGGATCACAGTACTAAGGAAAACTACCAAAAAAACTATCCATCCGTTTTGTCAAGATACGGATAGATAGAGGCAACTTCCCTGGTAACCGTTAAATGTGATATCACACGAAGACATAATCACATAGGTGGCCATACCTTAAAGCTTTTTAATTACTTATTAATTACTGTTTTAACTACTTTTCGTTGACCTATGGCTCATCTTGTTCATACAGACGAGTTGAAAAACGCTGGCTTTTGCGCCATCAATGTGCATAAACTTGCCTTATGCCCGAGAGTTCTACAGTAGGGTTTGAGACACTCGAAACAACATTTCGCATAACTGAAGGGTTTTGGTACAGTGAGCTCACTTATTTCTGAATACGAATATGTGAAAGTCCGTGCATCCAACAAGTCGCTGCAGCTCAGCACTGGACTCATGCTATCAGTTTGAAGGACCTTTTGTGTGTGGGGAGAAAGACTTACAACCTACTGAATTTGACAAAGCAGTTTCGAGACAAAACAGTTTCGCAACAAACAACCTAATACTTGAGCGCCAGAATGCGATAGTTGCCTGTCTTTCGTTAGTGACGAAAGACGGGTGATTCGCCGCGTTTATCACAGTGGTAGTCTTTCTAGATTAGAGTGTCATGCTTAAGTGTGCGTAGTGCTACTGGTTTTGCAGTATACTGAAAACCACACAATATCACATCGAGGACTTCATTGATTATTGAACTGTCATAGGACCGACAAGACCGATAAACTTTGCCTATAATGACAGCGCGAAATCTTTTGGATGAACCGGACCGATCGACTGTCTAACACTGAAGATCATCTAGGGAGCAAGCTCTGTCGAGCTCAAAGGCAGTCTGGTACAAAACCAGCACCAGCCGTCTAAATAAATGTTTGAAGTCTTCATTGCAAATTTTCGACCATGGAATCAACCGACGCCGGACCTGTGGACTGATTATAAATACCAGCGTAAGAATTTTGGGGACATGCACAGCTCATCCTGCAACTGAAACAAGTCATTAGGAAGGTTCGCTGTCGTTCTGTTCTGCGCAAGCAACATAGACTTGTGCAACCGATCTTTAACCGAACGTGCCCTTTGCATATTTACTGGCTGACAGGAGGCAAATGCCAACCCATCACATGACCAGCTTAAAGCCGTTCTTTTTAGATTTCCCCTTGATTTCCGGTTCATCCTTGACAAAAACATGTAGAACACTATATTTCCTTTGAAGATAGGTGAAGGTACAGAGAAAATAAGTTCAAATAATAATTTGACTCTGATTTACTGGTTAAACTAGAATGTCGCAATCGCTTTTTATGTCATGACGGAAGTTGAAGCTACATTCCACAGTCAAAAGTTCTACGCATTAGGTAGAACATTTGAATGAAACAGATAATTGGCCCGGGGCTGAAAGAACACATTTCTACTGTTTTAGTATTCACAGTTCCTCATTAAAAATCTCCGACAACAGTGTTGCCTCCACACATATTTGAGGCACATGACACGAGCTTGCAGGTGGGCAAACACGTTTATGTTTAGGCCCATTGTTCATAGCCACGAGACGTTTGCCATCATTTCCAGGCGGAAGATATACAACAATATATTCGGTTTAACCCGATGTTTTCGAAGTTCCAGATTTTGTTGCTGCATGTTTTCACATAAACTATTACTGTATGTTATGTGAGCAGAAACTGTGGAACCTCCAAATTGTACTAATATGAGTAGTCTGGCTTCTAGTCAGGTGCATCTACCTTCGGGTTACTCATGCACCAAATGCGAAATTCCAGATTACCGTTTCGTGTCATTGTAAAATACCTCAATACCGCTGACGAGATAGAAGAACGGAGTTCAGCAAGCATTTTACGGTAATTCTCAACGATTTTTACAACTGCGAATTAATGAATAAACGGACGAAATCAGAATTG